TCATGTCTCTTTTATACCAACACATGGCATTTTATTGTTTGTGGAAATAAATATAAAAATATTAGACACTCAAAGAGGCATAAATATTAATAGATTTGTTTCTGCAGCAATTTCTGAGCTGATATTAGTTCTAAGAAGCGCTAATTATTACTACAGTTCATCAAATTTCTAGAGGCTTTCGACGGCTAGACAGAGAAAGCACTACTGACAGGCATCCCGACGGATTTACGCAATGAAAGTACACTCTGCGCATCAAGTATTTCACTATTTCATTCAGACGTAAATGTCAGATGTAAATTTCGCTAAAACATTTCTTTTATTTTCGTTTGTGTTTTTTGCTCATTACAGTTTAATAGAACCTAAGTATGGAGTTTAATAGCAAATTAAGAGGCCGCGTGATTAACAGTCAATCTCGCGAAATCAAGAAATCAAGAATCAAATTTTATTTTTTTATTATTAGATAGCTATTTTTGTTTCTGAGTTGTGTTCATTTACAGGCTCAATTTTTTTCCGTTTCTCCTTTTTGATTTTATATGGGGTTTCAAGTTGTTTTTGACTTATTTCGACGTAAATCACAACAACACACTTTTTTAATAAAGCAAACAAGTGTTAAGAGGTATATGTACGTGTAAACTACAATTACAAAAAATTGATATGAAACCCATGAAACCACCAACAAAAATGTGAAGCTAGCTTCCGTACTAGAACATGGTGTCATTCGTCGAGATAATTTATCGTTTTGTTTAATATATCAAGAAATGTAAATATTCACCTGTTATTTTTTATAAAATTATAAGAGAAATAAATTTTTTTCTAAATAGTATAGTTTATTATTTTGTAGAAAAACAAAATTTCGAAAATTTTAGTAATGTTTCAGAAACAACCGTTATTAATAATAGGTACCATTTTTCTTAATAAGGTAGAAATAAAATATAAACTATTTCCACGATTTACAAAGGCCTACAAAAAAATTATAGGTATTTTCCGCTATCCTATAAAATTTATATTTTCTGACTCAATTTCAAAAGGTTGAAGGAATTCCAAAACACCTTTTATGGCATAATAATTATTTTCAATTGTACATACTATCTTTAGCTGCTTTTAAAAACGTTCTAAGAAAGTCCAATCAGATCAATTTAATCCCTAAACTATTCCACACTTTTAAAATTTAATTACCTAAAAATATTAAAAACTATTTAAAATAACTTGTTTAGCAGACTGTACAATAGCTATCTTAGTCACACGTAGCGCGTTCTCTGTCTGGGCGTCGAACACCTCTAGAAATTTGATGAACTGTACAGGTATATTACTGTGATAACAAATTCATAATCTATATCTATATTTGTTCTAAAAGCATTGTGAAAATCTTTAAAAAAAATCGTGTTCATAATTAAGGTACTTCTATATATAAAAAAAAACAAAGTCTTCTCTCACTGACTTCCACCTCCAATTAAGATAATTTCATAATGTAATACATGAAACAGAAACAAAGGACCTTGAATTACAATTTAATTTATTCACCTTTATTATATGGTGCAATATAAAAACAGTTTGAACAAACTTTTCCATTTTTTATGATAATAATAATAATAATAATACTCTCCCTAATTCACCCCCTTACGAGTGAATTTCAACCCCTGAAGTCGACTTAACGACTTGTGTAGGGGAAGGGACGGCTATTATTATTATTATTTGCCGTGGCGCTCCGGGGCGACTTAAAGATGATTGATGGTGCCATTTGATTTACAGGTGAGGACAACCCGGAAAACCTCACCCACCATCATCGAACGGTAATGTAAGGCGAATTTTTTTAATTTGCATGTCATATCAACAGAAATTTAATTTCTATTAATACGCCACACATCAAATCCTAAACCGAACCATGCAATTTAATTAAAAATCCACATGGTCTGGTCTGGGATTCGAAACCACATCCCCAACTAGCCATTCATAAAAGTGTATTTGTTGTGAAGTTCTCATCATCATCTACTGTATAGTCCAGGAGACAGTGACGATTTTCAGTATTTATTTTCCCACGAATAGCACGAATAAAGAATTGTAGGATTCTAAGCAAAATTCATATATATTTAGAGGGGAGATCCGATGGGCTGAGGCCGAAAATGCGTCAAAACATACGAGAACACGGCCCTTTTTTTCCATTGATAAAAATAGTTTTAGTAGTAAGAGATGTACTGAAGTTAAGTAAAAAATAGTCTGATTAATCTGTATGGATAATATATTTGGCAAGTGCATAAAATACACTTTCAAACGAGTTATGTACACAATTATTTCTACGACCACAATTATTTAAAGAATGTTCCAGGTGTTTTGTATATTAAAGTGTACGCATAGGACACATAAATAAAATCTTATATCACAATGTTTCACCTAACCAGTTGGTTTATTTATAGAAATTAAACATAATAATTGAAGATATTACAGAAGAAAATAGGGAAATAAATTACATTTCCTTTTACACTTTTATATAATAATTGTTTTATTTAGAATTCACGAATCACTTATTAATTATTATATATACATTAATTATAATTATTGTTAGTTTCGTTATGTCAAATCATTTATACTAGAGGTGTAAGGAAAATACAGTGAACTGTGGAACGCCAATATTGTTGGATGCGCGTGGTAGAAATGGTCCTATAATACTGCTAAAAACATAGCTAAATTTTCATGGAAACACTGTACTTTTGACATTTGCGATACTCCGACGCATATGCATTATTGATGTAATCTCATGATTTTACAGTAATAGTTTTTGCAATTTTAGTGTGATTTTTAGATTATTATGGTTATTCATTTTATTTGGTTTTGATCTTTTGCGCTTTTAGAGTATTTGTCTTTTATATAGTTTTTAATTTGAATTTTAATATTGTGGTCTATTTATATTTGATTGCTGCTTTTTGACTAGTGCTTTATTCTTTTTGTGTTAAAATAAGCTTTATAACCATTAAGTACATGCTTCTAGTTGATATCTACCTAATCGTCATCGGGTGCTTGCAACAATGGGAAAAAGTGTATGGTTTTTCTGGTGTAAAGTTAGACGCCTTCATTTTTCAGGTAAGTTATTTGTAGTTATTTTTTACTTAAAAGGATAGCAATACGTCCTGGTTCGGGGTGTGACTTTTGGGTTTTAGCTATCTGAGCCAAATTGTCGGCTAAGTGTCTTCTTTTAGGGCACCCAGAACCGAAAACTATACAGGTATATAATGTTTTTTTTTTTAATTATTTTTTAATATGTATGCAGCTTGGATGAGGGCTTTAGGAAGAGATCCTAAGACTGAACACTGACTGCTATAAATGCCGTTTTTAGAGCACATTTCATAGTAAGTAATTTCATTCTAGCAGCAATGAGGAAACGTTTAAAAAACATGCTGTACCAGCTATTACTTTAAGACCTCGTCTCTTTAAGTTATTATTACTTCATTCTAATGCATATATTAAAATGGTTTTTAACTTATGTCCTTATGATTAAAAGATGTAGGTATTTTAGTTATGTTATAATAGAAATATATGATACTTTGTATTGACTGACCTACTGGCCACTGGTCATTCCACTTTTACTCCCTTTTTTCATAAATTATCAAATTATTTAAAAACAAATACATACCTAGCTATTTTCTGAAAATTACATTAAAATTTTAGTATTAATACTTTACTAATAAAACTTCAGTTAATTTATCTTATATATATACACAACGGAAGAGTTAATTGGATTTTCTCCTTGTTGAGTTTCAAAAATAGTAATTTAACATGATTTAAAAACAAATACATGAAATGGGCAAAATAGGCCTGCATAGGCACTTTGTAAACAATCTCACTTGTATCGATGTGACGTAATGCGCGAATTCAATCTGGCTTACTTTTGTTAATAGATTGGCGTTCCATTTTAAATATACAGTTCACCGGGAATAGATTATTTAAATATACACGGACCGGGAAAACAAGTACGAAAAAATTCACTGGCTCCTGGACTAGTACTGTATTGAAGGAATTTTTATGAATGAAACAATATATGACCCTCCGCAATTGCGGTCTACTCTACTTCGGCTGTTGTCAGACATTATTTTTTTTTTACAATTTAAAGACCTAACAGTAATTCAAGCAAACGCAATAACATTACTACAGTTAAAAACATCGCAAACTTGGCATCAATATTTTAATTTTATCCAAATATTGCATTTCTGTCGAGGATCATCCGCGTTGACTTCAGAAATTGTGTAATCTATATTGGTTATATATATCTATAGTTAAATACACGTAAACTTGGCATCAATGTTCAATCCGATTATTGAGTTTCTACCGCGGACACCACCGTTCATTCTTCAAAAATTTTGTAAATAATCCTATCTGTCTTGGTTATATATCTATGTTCGAAACCCAGCAGTCTCAGACTCATAAACTTGCCTATAAATGAATATAAGCGCGATAGACCGCTACACCACTGTCCCGATGCGTCCCACAATTCGATGCCAAAAGAAGACAATTATTTTGGGTCCCAAACAATTTATTGTTATATGGTTCACTTTATGTGCAAATAAAATTATATATTGCATTAAATTATATTAATATACATATTTTAAAGTTTTCTGTTGATAGAATAATCATTTATAATATGTAAAAAATGCCAATTAACATAATTTAGATTATTGTCACACTGTCAGGTGTGAAAGCAGGTGCATAATTATAGACAAAACACAAACATTATAAAAAAAACATGTAAAATTTAATAGATTTCTTAGGAAAAACAATGAAAATCTAAAATTATATTCAATAAAGAACAATTTGCAGCGGTTTACGATTTAAACATGGCCAGTAAATATTATTTACAAATTAAAAAATAACTGATAAATAAACGTAAATAAATTAGAAGTTGGTTGTTTAAAATTAAAGGATGATTACTTATATTTATGCACAGATAAAAAGCAGTTTAGTTTTAAATAGATACATTTAACAGACTTTTAGTAATAAATAAAATAACTTACCTAAAATAGCTTTCTTATGATGTAACAGTTCGTAATAACTTTTCGCTAAAAGTTCTGAGGGATTCGTCGGTGTAAAAATACCTAATTTAACTAATCTTTCGCAGGTTTTCATCAGGTGTAGGGAAAATTCACCGGGATCAATGCCATACGCTCGCCAACCTCCCACACCATCTGCAACACCTGAAATAAAACAAAATTGACATAATGACTTGTTTCATATTCACAGCCTCTTTATGGTATGTTATTGGTAATACAATATAGATGAAAATGCTGAATAACAGTGGATCTACATTGCTTCCTTGTGGAACACCTGATTTTGCTAGGAATTAGTAAGAATTGACACTACTGACTCAATAAAATGTCAATGATATTGAAAGGAACATGTTTCTAAAAAAAGTAAACATTCATAATTATTTTGAAAATCTGTAATTTTAATAGTAGCGATATATGAGCATTAAATAATTTATAGGCAAACTATTTTATTAAGTCTTTACAATTAATTAACCAAATTTATTACATCCACTAATATTTTAAAATACATTTTTAATAACTTTTTTCAATAATTCCAATGTGTTCTTATGTTTGTCAACAATTTCACCTAATAATATAAGTAATTTGCTCCAATCACCATAACAGTAAATGGGACTATTACAATAATTGGCCCGGATATCAATTTGTTATCAAAATGCCTTTGATATGATATTGTTTGATATGATAAAAACAATTTAGTACAAAGAAAGCGCAGTTTGTTATGTTATATTTTGTTTTTGTTGTGTTAGCTTAAATTAGTTATAATATCAATGCATTTGAAATGTTAAAAATTAGGTATAATAATCTTTCTATAGATTAGACTTTGAACATTTGATGGACTCTAAATTTGAAACAATGTTTACAGCAACTTTTAAAAACAAGCTTCATAATAATTAGGAATTTGGAGTTTAATTCTAAATAATTTAATAAAAATTCCTGTAAAAATTCAACTGCAAGAATTGCATTTTAACCAATTTAAAGCTATTAAATACATGTTTCTTAATTTATTGCAAGCCTCAATGTTACTGGCACTTTAATCTAAATTAAATTGATTTAAATCTACTGTGCACCTCTGAAATTCTAGCTATTGAATATCCATTAAGTTAAATGAAACATTATAATCATAGTTACCAAATATTAAACCTAATCTAAATGCACAATATCTCCCAAATGTGTTGAACAGACTGTAATGATCTAGATAATATGTAAATCATAAAATGGAGACCAAACGCTATATTTCTAGATCTAGCAAAAGCATTTGACACGGTGCCACATCAGAAGCTCTTAAATGTTCTTGAACAGAATGGAGTGAGGGGCATCGTGTTGAAGGTTTTTGAAAATTATTTGACACACAGACAACAGAAGGTAAAGGTCAGAGACAATGTGAGTAACACTGAAAATATACAAATCGGAGTGCCTCAAGGGACTGTTCTGGGACCTATACTATTTAATTTATACATTAAGAGCTTAACTCAGATTGATATTCAAGGTAAAGTTGTATCATATGCTGATGATACAGTGCTAGTCTTCAGTGATAAAGATTAGGAAGCCATCAAGACACATGCTATAGCTGGAATGGAACATGTCAAAAACTGGCTGGATGTCTTTAAATTGTCTTTGAATGTTAACAAAACAAACTACATTGCTTTTTAAAAGACAGTGGCTGATCGACCTCAATTAAGAAGCTTAACATGTCAAAATTTAGACATACAGGAAACAGAAACATCCAAATGTTTAGGTATAATTATAAACCAGCACTTAAAATAGGACTGCCATATAATATATATAGCAAAAAAACTTATATTTCTGATTTATAAATTTTATCTTCTAAAACAATTTCTCAACCAGGATCTGCTAATAACATTATACTACAGTCTAGTAGAATCTATACTACGGTATGGAATCTTAGTATGGGGAGGCTTGTATGGAACTACATTAAATCAGTTAAATGTTATTCAAAACAAAATCTTAAAGTTAATATATAAAAGAGATAGATTGTGTCCCACCATAACTTTATATAATGAAAAAATTAGCAATGTTAGATGTTTATATAGTGAGCACCATAAGTCTTACCCCCTCTATCTAACTCGTTACTGGAGTCTTGTTAGGAAAATCGCCGAGACACGTCGATTTTTGATTTCTACAGTGTACATTTTTGTATGAATAGTTTACCCTTAATTTCATCCCTTACTGGAGGGGAGCAACCCTTTCGAAAAATTTAAATGGCATGGGGTGGTGAGTGATAGCTCATTTGAAAGAGGGTTTTATTCTCTATTCAACCATGTAAAAAATTTGAAATTTGCTTCATTAATTCTCAACTAATTGTTGTTTCAGAATAACGGAAATTAACGTAGCGCACTCATCCTTAGAATTAAAATTCGGCCCTGCATGATTTCGGTTTTGGTTCAGACGTGAAGTAAGACTTTTTGCCATTAGAAGGTCACTATTAGTTTAGTTGCTTTCCTATTTTGTGAGGTTTTGTTATTTTTAAACATTAATAAATCAACACGTAATGAAGCAAATTTCAAAAATGTTTTGCACGGTTGAATAGAGAATAAAACCCCCTTTCAAATGAGCTATCACTCACCACCCCATGCTATTTAAATTTTTCGAAAGGGTTGTTCCCCTCGAGTAAGGGATGAAATTAAGGGTAAACTAATCATACAAAAATGTACATTGTAGAAAACAAAAATCGACCTGTCTCGGCGATTTTCCTAACAAGACTCCAGTAACGAGTTAGTTAGGGGGGGTAAGACTTATGATGCTCACTGTATATTCACGCAGTGTGTTGTTATATACAAAAAAATGAATTTTTAAAAAACCCTTTAGAACATAGACATAATACTAGAACTGCATCGAACATGTAAATTAAACTACCAAAACCAAATAGAGAGTTTTTTAAAAACAGTGTAAATTATCTAGGGACAAAGTTTTATAACGCTCTACCTCTTCATATAAAATTATTAAACAAATATAAAAAATTCTTCTGTAAAGTTAGCAACATATACATTTTCCAAAATAATAAGTTTATCAGAATTTTCCAAGAATATCGGACTTAATACATGGATTTTTTTAAATAGTTTTTTTTTTCTGTTTCTTGCATAAATTGTTCGTTTTATTTTTTATTAAAAAAAAAAAATGTTTTTTTTTATTTCCTTTATAATTAATCCATTAAATATAAATAAAATAAAATTTTAATTTTTGTCAGCACATACAGGTGTTCTCACCTAGGTGCTTGTTATTATATAATTGGTTTCCATTATTTTAACTTATTTATTATTGTAACTTATAACTATTCATTTATAACATAAACTGTTTTAATCAAATTCAATGAGAGGTTGTTTAAGTTTCTTAACACAAAACCTAAATTTTTGTGAACTCAATTTATTGCACAAGTAGTATGAGGAACAAATGATAAGATGTTGATTTAAGAAAACCCCTAAATCTTTTATCTCATTAAGACGTTTAAGAATTAAATCTACCATCGAGTAATCAAATACAATATTGTTATGTTCTTTACCAAAAGTAATTGTGTGATATTAAGTGACATACAAATCTTCACATACACCAATTATGCAGTGCATTAATATCATTTTGTAAAAGATAACAATTATTGACACTATTATTAGGCACATACTTATGTCATCAGCAAAAAATGTCTTCAATATCATTGATATGTAGTAAGAACAATAATGGTCCAAAATGGGAACCTTGTGGAACCCCAGAGGGTACTTCATATTTGATGGACAGACTGCAAGCTATCCTCACCATTTGAACTGTTTTTTAAATATATAACTCTGTTTTTTAAATAGGTATATCTTTCAAGCCAAGTCAGAAAAGAATCAGATGGTTTTTAATGAATTTTTACAATATTTTTATTATCTTTTGACTAATTGCCAGTTTAGTTCTACACTACTTAAGTACCTAGGTATCACAAATAATATTAAAAAACCATTAAAATTTTAAAACAATGCGTAGGTACCTACACAACAATGTTATTATTATCAACATTTTAAGCACCCAATTACTAAATTAGCTGTTTTAAAAAATGAAAAACTTGGCTATAGTTAGGTATTTAGTACCTAAGTCAAAAATATGTGTAAAATTAGAAAAATTGGATCAAAATAACGATGCAGCTGGTAAAGTCTTGGCAATTAATTTAGCCAAATTTGATTGTGAAATAATATTTAATTACTTAAGTAAAATAAATGTAAAATTATAATAAATTATAATATTCATTTGGATCTAAATTAGGAAATGATCTGTCCAAGATATGCACATTTAATAACAGTAGTTTAATAGTTAAATGTAGTTTACTTTACTAATTCCACCATAAATTAACATTTTTTTTGGAAAATAAAATAGAAAAAGCTTTAACTTTTAATTAATTAGATATAAGATGGTATACAGGTCAATACCTAAAGGAAAACACAGTAATTAGGATGTGATAGAACAATATTACTAAACTTATACATATTTTTGTTTAAAGTATCATTGAAATTGATTTTGAATCGTACATATATAGACAAAAATATTGTATTACATTATTGCAGGTTTTAATAATGTAGGTACAGCAGTTTTTGAAGTATGTTAATAGTTTTTTATTTAAATACCTAAAGGTTATAGTTGGAAGTTGTGGGCAATCAATACTGTACAATGTATTGAACATGTATAGGAGTTAAGAGCATGTAAAATATAAAAGTTACAATGATGAAGATTACCTCGCAAAGATAATTCTTTTTGAAGAATAGAGGTTTGTTCCAAAAACAAAGAATACCATGATGCTATATTTTCTTCAATATTTTCTCTTTTCAAAAAAGCCTACATTAGCTTAAATCAAGGGGATGTTAGCAGCTGCCTTTAAATTGTGTTAGACAACATACTTTTGGAACAGTGGAGCACAAGTTGTAAAGATGGTAGGTAGAATTTTGAAAAGCTCCAAATTAAAACATGGAGCTCCACAAGAATCTGTTTTAGGACCAGTTCTTTTTTTGCTATATATTAACGATTTAACAACAGTTAAAATATCTTGAAACTTTACAAAATTTGCTGATGATACCACAAGTTCTTTGGAATAAAAAAGATACAGATCTTAAAAATTATATTTCATGTGATCTCAAAACAATTAAAGACTGGCGTGATTCTAATTGCTTGAGCTTTAACACCAAAAAAACAAAAACTGTAGTTTTATTTATATTTGAAATTTTTTAGATTTCGACCATGATTTTTAATGATTTTGGAAATATTCGAAAATATTTGGAGTGAATTCGGTGATTTCGAGTGAAAACGAAGCAGCATTTCAGGAGTTGTTTACTCCTCAGGTCAAGATTTATTTTACAAGCTTTATTTTGCTCATGGCTTGACAATTTATTAATATTATTCAGATCCAGAAACTGATTTGACAGTCCAGGAAATTGGTTGGTAATTAGTTTTGATTGTCTATCATTTTCAAGCAAAATAAATAATTTTTACTAGGTAAGTAGTTACTTAAATTAATAATTTTTGTTGACAGTTTGTTTAAATATAGTTGATGACGACTGGTACTTATAGAAGAAATTCTTATGAAGGGCGTTTCAATTACTTCAATTCGAACTCTGCACTGTGTATTTTCATATATTTTACAAAAATCCTATACCTACCTAAGTACGAAGAAAAAAAAATTCAAGGCTGTTCTTTCATATTTCACGTGATCTATCTAACAGTTGCATAATTAATGCATAAAAGAATATTCCTGATCAAAGACCGTCTTTTTTAAATAAATAGAATGTTGTTTTGGTCCAAATATAAATAGATTACGAAAATAATTTAGAACGTCATAGGTGCCAAAGGTTAGGTTAGGTTTGAAAGAAAAAAAACGAAAAAACTCAATTTACCCAAAACATCAGCGGATTTGTACTTCGCTGTAAACCAGGCATCGTCACCGAACTGCCCTTTGATCAGTCTTTGGATTTTTCTCTCCTTAGAGAAGCCACAGACAGCTGAAATTAGCTGGGACTCTGGTTTCCTATGGATATTAGGATCTGATGTAGCTGAAACGTTTGCGATTCCATTCCAAAATGCTCTGGATATTAATCGTCCAGTGACTAATAAAGAGTGCATTATACGACACTAAAAAACCAGTCCATTACATGCTCATTTTAAAAAGTTTTTGATTTTATTTACAACACATCGCGATATTAGGCCGATCTCATTCTTACAACACAAATCACAACTTCTACCACACTTCACTCAAACAATCTAAAATTATAAAACATCAGTCACAAACATCAAATCAAAAACGCAAAACGCAGCGTCGCAGCGCATCCGTCAAACTGCAATTCGGAAGTGACTATGCACCAAAGAGACGGATACATTAAACTATGAAAGCTAAAAATAATTTATAAGATATTCTTTAAGAGAAATAATAAGGAACGTGATATGTGACTGTATTTAAGGACTCTGTTATAAAAGTTTTCCGTATCAGATCCTTATCTATAGTAGTAATTCCCTATTTTAAAAAATTATATGTGTAATGAAATGTCAAACATATACTTGTCTAGAAGAAAAAACTGTTATTTTAATTGGTAAATTATAAAAAATAATTAAAATGAGATAGCAGTGTGTTATAACCATTGAAAAAGTGCAGTGTTCAACTCGCAAAGAATTCTCATTTGCTACTATAGCATGATTTACAGTATTCACCTGCATTCTGAAGAAAAATATCATACTCGTAGGAAATGAATACCATTATTTACTCGTTAAACAATACATATTAATTTAAAATGAAATGGGTTTCTTTAAAATTAAATTTAAAATTTAGACTTTCCATTGGTAAACTACCTTTTCTGCAACTGTCATAAAAGGGCTGTGTTTGCACTTTAACGTCATTGTCTAAAATGAGACCTTTTTCATTGACATTATTTTTCTGTTTTACCATGACACTGTGCACAAAATATTATGTGCAATATAGTTCGCATGAGGTATATATTTTACACATCACATACCTATTATAGCTTGTTATTATAATTTTTTATGCATACGCTATTATAGAATTAAAAAAACATCTAGTTTAAAAATATTTATCAAATCAACTGAAAGTTGAATTGTTTGTTTTATTAAAATTTAACATTAAAAACTTGTTACAGAAAAAATATTGTTTACATCTCCTGTGCCAAATTCTTTGATCTTGGTCATCTTGAACGATTTTTTGACTCGGCTGTACCTCGTCAAAAGACTAATGGAGATCATCAAAGTAGTATTTCGCATCTCTTCATACAAAAATAACTATACCTACTTGGATAGTTTTCAATAAATTTGAAGATCCCGAGTCATATGATATATTGCATAAGATAATTAAATTGGTTCTCTTTCTCACTCTCATCTAGTACAGAATAAATGACAAATAATGTAGAATTTTCATTTTACTTTTCCTATTTTTTTTGATAAGTCACTATGTTTGGAGTAGTAGTCAGATCTAATAATATAGTTTTGAATTTATTAGGTGGCGACATCTATATAAAAGTAGTTAAAGTATACGATTTGTCATATTAAGATTTCTATTAGGCATTCCAACGACCTGTCAAACAATAGGTGCCAGTGGGAAATTCTTGTATATCTAAGGGGGTAGCGACATAGTCTTGCAACTTGGACGCTATTTTGATTCAAAGTAGTAGTCGCCAAGCCTTCCAATTTATGAAGAAATGTATAGGTGGGTTTTTTAAATATTATTTTTATTGTGTTTGACATAAAATATTTAAATGTAATCCATTATTCATGATTTTACGTAAAGTAGATAGAATACACCATATGTCGCCACCCTTAGACATACCAAACCTGCCCACTGGTAATTCATTTGTTTGGAATGCCTAATTTGTAACATTTTCAAAAACGGACAATTTTGCCATTATTAGTCCAATTATATACATTTTTGGAAATCATATTTAAAATAAGAGAGTTTTTTTAGAAATTAATGAATCTCTCTATATTGCGAATATGTTTTAAAATTATCATTCAAGTACAAGAAATATGTAAGAGATAAGAGATATAAAATTGGCTAGAGATTAGTTTATTGATTGCCCTCTATGTACTCAATTCAGTAGCTTATTTGTTTCAGTATTTCTTGTAGACAGTGTAGACTCTACTCTCTACTTGAAAAGGACGCTTTTAGGTAGGTGGGGTCCGCGCGGATAAATAAGATACTATTGCGTCACAATATTATTTTCTTTTCATTTAAGGGCCGATTGGAACGTTGTGTTAAATGAAGTTTAAATTACTTAAACGAAGAATAAAATGACATTTTCAATATAAAAATGGTATCAAATTTAAATTAGTAGGTTATATACCCTATACGGGCCTTAATCAAAATTTTTTCAGACCATTGTTATAAAACTATATAGGTAGATGATGATTCCATAAATAAATAAATAAATAAAGAACTTAAACAATAATTAAATATTACAGATTACGTACTTGCATAGCATAGGTAGGCTCCGTTTACAATTAGAAGAACACAGCTATGCCATAACCATTACTTTGAATTTTGAATGCATATTATCTATAACTTTCAATAAACAAAAATTTCGTAAGTTGTTAGGTGTATAACAATATTTCTGATATTCCTATAATACTACCACTCCTCTAAACCCCCATTAGGCGGTGATAACCAATTAATTACTTTGCCAAATGATGACGTAGCTGTATTCTTCTAATTGTAATCGGACCCTACTAACTTGATTTTGTTATACATAAGTGTAATAATATGGAGATATTTAAATTAATTTTGTGGAACATTGAAAAACTATTAAAATTTTAACTCTCTATATGAATGTCACTCTTTGATTAAGTAACACTTTTTTTCCCCCAAGAGGGTGCCAAAAATTGTCGCTTGGGGTATTATTACTCATAATGTTGCATTTCTCAAAAATTACCTTTTTTTTATGTGTCACACATGGGACATTTCCTCTAGAAGCTCGGTGTAATTTATAAGACCCCTTTGAAAGGAAGTTAGCATTAATACAATGCGAAATTGCTGGCAAAGTGAAGTCCTTTCATTACCTATTGCTGGTAAAGTGACGAGCCACATGCAAGCCCGTTGAAGAAAAGTTAACATTCAAATGATGGGAAACTATTGGTCATGTTTTGGCCTTTAACTACTTATACCTGGCAAAATTACGAACCTTCTGTAAGCCCATTGAAGGAAAGTTAACATTAATATTATGGGAAATTGCTGGCCATTTGCAGACCTTTCACTACTTATTGATGGTAAAGTGACTAAGGCCTTCTGCCGTCCGTTGTAACAAAAAGACGACTTACCAATGCCAGATTCCAAATGAAAAGCCACTACTTAAAGTAACGTACAAACGTTTAACGGCCGTTAACTTGCCATAACAAAATGTTTGTTGAATATTCACAAAAAACATTTTATAAGTCGGTATGCACCTACCTATACCTACTTACTCTAAAAACACTAAAGGTTCTTTAAGACTTCGACTATGATTTGTTTGTTGATAGGTACTATATATTACATTATAATGATACCTATGAATACGAAATTAGATTTGTTATTAAGTAGGTACTTATATTGCTTGTTTTCGAAGATAGAAACATCCTGTATAGCTCTTTATCTAACCATTACCCATTGTAATAAAATTTTATTGAAGCTACACACGCATATACTTGTGAATTCGCAACACGCCAACTCTTTCTAACGTTTGTGCATCGTTTGTGTTGTGTGGCCGATTACAGCCAAAAGCTTTGGCTAGAACGAAATGTTGCACAATTTTATTATGGATTTCATTTGGGTACTCAATGGACATTGATTGTTTTGCGGTCTTTGTTGCCCGAGAAAGAAAATGCACCGATTTATCCTGTTGATAAATTGGATATACACTTTCTCTCAGTTTCAGCATCTTTTAAATTAATGAATAGATAATGTATAAAAAACTGGATTTAAGAATATATAGCTAAAACATGTATCTAACATTTTTTGACATATGGTATATAAATATAGCAATATAGTACCAATCTTGCTTTCGATAAAAAACATTTACGCGCTATTCTGTATTAAATCTATGACAATTTGCTGCTTTTTGTTTTTAATAAATATTTCCAGTAATTTTTAAATGGGAGGACTTCCCACCTTTTTCTCTTAAACGTCATTGCCTTAATTTAAAGCTCTTTATATTCTCGAGGAACATAATATCGCGGAGCATTACCAGTGGCGCACTTATAAATAAAATTTCATATTAGAAAATTTTTTTAAACATTTTTGTTTTTGCGGGAGGTCCGGTTTGCTCTTAAGACATTCGGATACTTTTTCTTTATCAAAATATAGAAAGTAAAAAGTGGCGCTGGGAAATAGTAACTGCAGGGATCACGTTAACAAAGAAAAAATATATAAAAAAAACATTTGTTGAGCTAATTTTTAACAGAAAACTAAATTTCAATTAAAATAGAATTAAGAACATTTAATATAGACCTTATATGAATTAAAATTAATATGAGTTTTCCATTTCCAAGGTTAACTTTTAAGTACGGGTGTTCCTATAGATCCAAACCCATATTTACATCAAATTAAACGTCAATTTCTTCTGCGTACATACGTGATGGTAGAAGAGGTGAGTAAAAATAACTTTGATCTAATTCAACACTTTAATTTTTGCATTTTGACTTTTACCTGGTAGTTTGTTACCGTTTCCAATTACGTAGGAATTTTTTGAGTTTTTACTTTTGCGTGGTGTAGTAGGTTACTGTTAAGTAGCCATTATAATTCATTTTAATTATAATTCGAGAGATGCTAAATTGGGGATTCCCACCTTATTGAGACTGAGCTGCACAGCGTAAAAAATCGAGACATGATTTGATTTGGAAATAAAGACCGAAAGCTGATAGTAGTATTAATAAAGACGTTGAATTTTCCGGTTTGTGAATCATTGCCATTACTTAGCTTAAACCACGTGATGATTGTTAGAAGCCTTGATTTTTAAAACTAATCCATATCGCCTTTTGATTAGGGTTTACAACTGAACAATTTATCTAATAATAATTGTCCCCTTTACCTCTTAAGACTGCTCATGTAAAATATTTGGGATCCTACTTCTTAAGCTTATTTTTCTAAAAATATTTGGTCCCTTTTAAATCTGTCCATGTAAAATTATATGATCCCTTTACCCCTTTAGCCTGCTCATGTAAAAATATTTGCATCCATTGCCCCTTAAGCTTATCTACATATACAAATTTAAAATATTTTCAAAAAAGCGGTGATATATTTCCTCATTTTGAAAAATTTATTAAAACCAATTCTTTGGGCAGTGCATTTATCGTTCTGTCCAGACAGCACACATAGTCCAATGGATGCCTACTTTAGATACATTTGATGGTCAGAATTTGTCTTGGTTTTGGGCAAATTTACTAAAAAATCTAGCAGAAGGTCTTGTAAATCACTAATTTTTATAAAATACATCTCATTAGCGTCCATTATTCCCATTATTAAAGTCCTTAAGAAATAAATACCTAATTTGTTATCTGATGCTTACTAAAAAAAAGTTGATCCAAGGTCATTTATTCATGCCCACATACCATATAAAACTATTTGCCTATCTATACCTTAAGCCTGTCCTTATTAAAACATTTGATTCCTTTATCTCTTGGATATACTATTTCGATGAAACGTGGGTGAATGCTAGACACACGGTATCTAAGATATGGCAAGATACTTCTGTAACTAGTCATCGCCAAGCTTTTATAGAGGGATTATCTACAGGTTTGGAAGCACCATCAGGTAAAGGACAGCGCCCATATCGGAAGTGACAGTGGATTTTTGGAAAATAGCGCTCTTGTGTTTATATCGAAAAAAACAGGAGACTACCACGAGGACATGAATGCGGAATGCTTTGAAAAATGGTTTACCGAAGTATTACAGCGTGTAGAACGAAATTCAGTTATTGTACTAGATAACGCTTCTTATCACAGACGACGAGTTGAACGCATTCCGATAATGCCCAGTAGGAAAGCGTATATGCAAACCTGGCTGCGGGATAAAGCAATAACATTTACTGAAGAGAGGCTTAAAGTGGAATTAATGGACCTAATAAAGGAACACCGCCATAAATATATTCAATATGTTGTCGACACAATGGCTCGTGAAAAATAGATAACCAACCTACTTTCATCTAGTAATATTCACAAATACCCATTTAATTTGCCAATATAGTATTTCTGCGACACTGGAAGAGTGCATTTTGATATGATAACGATACCTTGTGCAGTTTTAAGGCGCACCTTCTTCAATATTTTGTTCTAGTATAATACCCCATTTAATTTTCCAATAGTGTTTCTACGCCACTGGCATAATATTTACATATTTTAACAATAAACAAAATAAAATTATAAACATAAATGATTATTACTACAAAAATAGATAACCAACCTACTTTCATATAATATTATTTAGTATTACCGCATTTAATTTGCCAATAGTTTTTATACGCCACTGGCGTAATTCATTTTGGCAATAAACATGCATTTATGACTAGTTGGCACGCGATTCCGATAACTTCTGCAGTTTTAAGCGCGTGATTCCATTCATTATTCTCTGGTATAGTATGACTGTTGTACGTGAACAGGAAGGAATCACCTTCTTCAATATTTTATCCGAGTATAAACGCTACTTAGTCAATCTATGAACATCTAACTATGGATGAAAATAATTAGTTTATACTTGCAATCAAGTTTTGGCTTATGCAGTAATCGTTTCTCCATATTTATTTGTATTATCTGTATTTGTAAATTTCACATTTCTGTAAATAAACTTCTATCTATTTGTAATTTTTTGATAATTTGTCAAATTTGATATACCTACCACAAAAATCCTGTATGATGCGGACATTCGGTGACACTGTATATTTTTTGTACTCTTTCTGCTCGAATACATTGCAATGTAAATTTTTATTACTATCTAAAAATTATTTTTTGTAACTACCTCTTCGACTGTCATGTCAATTCCATTGATATTAAAAATAACACAATCAACATCCAATCCCAATAAAAAAAAAAATATACAACAAAAGAATACTTCCGGTAGGTACTCCGGTAGTGTGTAATGGTCCCATCGGAAGTAACCGAGGGGGTAGAGAGGCGTTTTTATAAACGACAACTACGAGTATATTACACGGAAACACGGAAACATATCAACTGACTATTAAACATTTTCAAATCAATTGACTTCGCGTGAACAAGACAAGTGTTTCATTTTGATTGAATGAACGCGATTATTTTTTAATTAATCTTAAAATGTTCTGCTGCGATCCTTCAAACTGTTATAAAATAGTTTGTTGTTTACTTTTTTGCGTATCAATTTAGTCTATTAGTCTAGTGATGTGTTCCGCTAGGAGTACAGTGATGTGCGATTATTCTGTGTCTTTTATTTCTTGACATTTGACGGTTTGGTAAGAATTTAAATTGCTAAAGTTGCTAATGTTTCGAAATATTTTTTTATCCTGGAATTAATTTGAACTGACTCTCTAAATTCTATATAATACCAGGAAGCATGACTTTGGAAACTAAAACAATCATTTATTGATGCCTTCTCCACTTTATTTTCAAGTGTCTTCCTGCATTCCGATTCTATTTATCTTATATTAGAACCTGTCAATGTTAATATAACAGATATGTCGCTCAATAGTGTATCTGAACTTGACATACTTAATGCATTCAAAAAATTAAAAAATCAAATGACCTCTGGTTGTGATAACAATAACATTTCTAGCTTCCTCATAAAATATTGTTTAAATGTTCTAGTTAAACTACTAGGTGGTTATCTATAATATGATATTAAAATAACTTATACCCCGAATTATGGGAATTAACAATGGATATTCAATTGTTATCTCTATTTACCAAGCACATAGCAATTTTGTCAAATTCTAGTAAGCTTTTTGAAATTATCCTGTATGACGTTATCTCTATTTCACTCAAAACTTTTAAAGCTCGCGCCTTAAAGCTTTAATGCAGCTTTCTTTAACTTATGAGAAATATTTTTTTTGTTTCCTTCTCACATCTGACCTACTTATATGTAAGCAAAAATCATATAAAAGAATGTCAACTTTCAAACACTCTGTATTTTAACTTTAATATAAAAAACAACGAATAATAAATTATTTTAAATAAGATAGAATGCGAAATTCTAAACATTATCAAAATCTGTTTTTGTTCCAATATATATCTCTCAAAGTGGCGCCGTAGTGAAATAACAAATAGGTTATATTGTTTTTCTACACCCACATGGATATTTGCTTATCTACGCTTAGGTTACAAAACGAAAAATTGTGCTATTGCGTTCAACTGAACGAATATATTTCATATCCATTCTAGGTAGTGAGAACACTGCAAAACAAATAAATCCACCAATCACAATTCATATTTTGGACACCTAACCACTATTATTTTTAAAAAATAAAGTGATATTCTGTCAAACTAAACGTCATTATATTTTTTTGGTTATTGAGATTAAATATACATTAAAAAGAAAGTTATTTTTGTGTGGAAACGACAAATAATAGCATTTTTATTTTTATTTGGTTAACATTTTGAAAATTTTTATCAAACTTTATGAAACTAATTTAATTACGGGTTCGAATTTGGACTTGGGACAATTTTTTTTAAGTTTATTTTATTTTATAAATTAATAAAATTCATAAATTATTTTAAAATTAATTATTTTGTCTTAACAACCTAAAATAATTTTTTAAATTTGTAGATTTTTGTTAGTGGGTCGTAGAAAAAATATACTGTACCACTCGAGTGGATTGTCCATATCTGGGTGATTCTCGAATAACTGTGATTTTTTATGTCCAGTGTTTTATTTATCGTTTAGCATAAGTTTTCTTCATCAAAAAGTTATTAATATTATAAATTTAGAGGTATTTTACAACAGACATTATGAATTAAATCATAAACCTTCGTAATTTTTTTTAAGCTGCATATAAATATACTCGAAATGTCAGTACCGTGGCATGTCCGATTCTCATTTTTGAAATTAAATATATAAATTTCTATCAAAATTCATTTTCTAATATAAAATTTACCTCTTATAACTAGAATCCTATGCATATTGCATTGAATTTTATTGCAATTTTATACCAATCTTGCGATTGGTAAAAAAAAATAATCATTTATATGTCAGTACCGTGGAAATAAAAATTTTAAATTTTGTCACAGTTTTCGTTGTGTCGTAGCTGTAGTAGAACCACTTTGCAGGCTTTATTCTGTGCATAAATAGAAAACAAATACGCGTAAAATATACGTTTTAAAACATTTTTTACTTTAGAAAAATGTAAGTTGTAAACATCACAGTTACACGAGAATCACCCATCTACTCTTGTTGCACAAACTACAATTTTCACTGAGTAGGTATGCTAAATTGGTAGAATCCTGTAAATGGCCATATATTCGCTTATTTTGTTTTCTGTTTGTATAAACAGATTTAGATGTGAGAATGAGGTCCACGGTCCACTGATTGAAAGGGATAAATATTAAATAAAAAGTAAACCGGCCCATTGAACTAAAATAAGTAAAAAAAAATGGTTTTATGGTTAGAACCTTTAAAAATTTTGCTCGTTAAAGTGAAATATTTAAACTATTACGCACATATAGTGTGTCGATTTAAAATTTAAAACTTCTTTTTGGCAATCGTTCTATGCAAGAATATTAAAAATAAACTACTTTATTTATAAAACAATATAATTACATTAAAAATAAAAACCGAATTATTATATTTAACAGGACGTACCGATTTGGTTTACTTTTTTTTTATTCTCCTCTAATATTCGATTCCAGAGGTGAAAAGTGAATCATTTGAAAGGTGCGTCTTTTGCGTTTTTTTTGCGCTCTTTCTCTTTCTTTCCTTTTCCCTTTTTTCTTTTTTCTTTTCCATTTCTTCCCTAAAACGTCCCTCTTTATATGATTTTTGACTTATTTTTGTATTTCTAATTAAAAGCATCACCTTTAAAATTATTTAAAGTGGACTGTTCTCGAGTGGGTTAAAGCAGTGCTTTTAAACCTTACGAATTTTATGAAGATTTACAAATAATAATTTCAAATTTACCTGATTTCATTTAAGGTGTAAAACAGCTGCTCCAATACATAATAGAAAATAAGTTGAAAGAAATTTATCCAAATATTTATATTGTCATTCAAATTTTGTTAACAGTACCACTTTTGCTGAAAGGAGCTTTTCAAAATTAAAGCTAATAAAAAATTAAGAAGTACAATGGGCCAGCAAAGACTTTTAGCATTGTCAGTTTTATCTATTGAAGCAGATATAGCATCTAATCTGGATTATGGTACAGGAGTTCAATAAAGCTAAAAGCAGGAAATTTATGTTTCTGTAATTCTTTACTGCTAGTAATTACTTAATAATATTAGTTAAAGTCTAAGATATGTTAGCATTTTTATGAATACAAGTTTCAATTTTATTTCTCTATATAAAATCCGTCTTCTTGCGCCACCAGTGGGCCTCGCAAAAATTTGTACGACTCAATATTTCTAAATTAAAAATTGTCAAATTTTCTCGTCTATGTATTTGATCATTTTATTATCAATCAGGTTTTATAACAGTGTGTTCATTTAAAGACCTTAGCGGCAGCATTTCAATTGAAATTTCTTTTAGCTTCATGTCAATTCTTTTGCCTTCTCTCAAGTAACCCTGGTTCTCTAGTTTAATTTTCTCTACTCTTGCCTGATCATGTCTCGTCCCAACCAAACATATTCTCATTCGTTTAGACATATTAGCACAATAAACGTAAAAAACAGCAATACAAATTAGTTATAAACTTTTGAACGTCACTTTATCACGGCATTAGTGTAACAACCAGAAAAAATGGTGAAATATGAAGAGTATATAACTGGTACTATCAAAATAAACATATAACTGGAGTAGTTGTTTGAATCACACACCTGAATTTATAAATATTTTATGCAATAGCAATCCAAAATAAGACCATTGAGAGACTCTCGAAGTAATAATATATATTTAATTTAATAAATAATCTGGAAAACCCAAATGCAACAAGTAATAATATGTTTCATGGCTTCTTTTTCAGACGGTACAATTTATAAATATCTGCGATCATTGGGATGTGACCTATATAATTTAATAAAAAATCTGGAAAACCCAAAACCAACAAGTAATAATATATTTCATGACTTCTGTCGAATGCCTTTATTTAGTTATGCCATTCAGAGGTATGCGGATGAACAAGAATAGAAAGTGTCAACAACATTGTGTTATTGCCAAATAATAGTAGAAACAAGCCTATTTTTGGATGGAACTTTGAATGGTATTATTTTTAGCAAATGTGATGTGAATATACTAGTAAATTTTTTATGTAAAAAAATTATCCTGGTGAAAGAAATAACTTAAAATTTATTACGCAACCCAGATATTCTTATAGTTACATCATCTGGCCAACGATAATATAAAAAAAATATTGCAAATACTTATTTTGTATCTTCTGAAGACTTCTAAGTATACTTGAGGTTGATCTGCCCAAATCACAGCTCCAAACTCAGAACTTGAGTATTACATAAAATTTTATATTTAGAAAATGCAAAATTGGTCTAAAAATAAACCCCAAACAACTAACGGCATGCCTTACTGATTTTTGGTCCCAAAAATATATAATCAATATCCCAACATTATTTTATTAATAAATAAATATTAATTTGAATCATTAGTATGGAAAATATTTCGAAATATTACCAACCAAAAATAAAATTACACAGACTTGTTTTCTTCTTACCAACCATATTATGTCAAGGAGAAGTCAGAAACTAAAATATTTATAAATTTGCATGAACATTAATATTATTATTATTATTATTATTATTATAAAGAATAATACTGTGATAAAAAATGTTCCATAAAAGGAGGCAAGAAACTAGAAAAAGAAGTTCCAAATTAAGTAGATTGGAAGAATTGGTTCTGCCTAACGCAAAACTAAAATTTTGTCCGGATCAGCTTCAAAATTTGAATTACATAATTAATAAGAGGTTGCAGCAAAACATTTCTAATGGATCAGGTAAGCTTTTTTAGTATAATTTTCTTAATTATTATTGTTATGGAATGAAAAAAAAAAATGTCTCCAAAGTAGGTTACGGAAAAATCAGTTTGGATATCATTAAATATACTAGGGGTTTAAATTTCAGTTAGATGCATATTATAATGTAAATTTATTGTAAAACATGATACAACTTAGCTCTAACAACAAATTCATTCAACATATAAAAAATAGCCTAAAAATTATTTCCCGACGTTTTTGGTCATATATTCAATCCATGCTATTAGGGAGCCGCAGGGTTCCAACTTAGACCCCCTTTTATTTTTATTATTTATTAATGATTTACAATAAAGTATATCAAATGAATGATTATCTAATACACACTGCTTTATACACATTCTTTCTTACATTTTCGCATTTTTTTTATAGAAAAATCGTTATTATTGGCAAAATCAGTAAGCGAGAGATTGGTACAGAGACTGCTGTGTGGGGCAGGCATGTTAGATCCAAGGTTCTCGTCCAAATACCTAATTTGTAACAATCAACACAAAATAAACGTGAGTACTACAATTACTAAAGCAGACAGTACTTAACAATAATAATGGGATATACATTAAACGAATTATTCACTGTGATAAGAACAATATTTTTACAAATTATTTATGACATATTCCTATATTTATTATTGTAAAATCAGTTCAATTATTTTGTAATATTTTTAATTTGGTTGTATCGCATCAATCATTTTTTTTTTGATGATTTATTTCTTCAAATAGAATTGTAAAATAAATATAATCAGTTGGCTTCAAAGTCAAAATAAGTGCATTTTTAGAGTCATCGCACATTCAATGTCTAATTAAATTAAATCCTATTTTTTTTAGAATAATTTATCTAATAAACTAGACTACATTGTAAGACTGGACTGCTTGTCTTTACCCAACTTATATAAAACTGATGCCAAGCCAAAGTATTCCGTAACAGAATCAGAGTCAGAATACCCAGCTGGATTTGCAAGGATCAAGCTGCACACGTCGACATTTAAAATTTGGGGCGATTTCACTAACTCGCAAGGATTTTTTCGAAGGTATGTACATGTATAACCTCACAAAAAATGTTTGAAACTTATCGTTTTTTAGGGATAAAGTTCAAGCTAGATTGGTGGAATTATTGGCTATAGCGGCTTCCAAAGAAGTACCAACATCTCCTCTGTATATCGATGAGTCTGTCCATTGTGGTGTACCTGGAAAGGTGCTAGATGCTTTTACGCTTCATAATATTTTAAAACTGCCACCAGATCAACATGTTTACTATGGTCCAGGTAAACTATTTTTTTATTTATTTAATTATTCACGGGTCTTGCCCAATTTCAGTACAAGTTACAAATAAAAACAAAAAAAAACACAAATAGAGTCAATCTAAATAATACGTCATAATAATGATAAACTAATAAACTAAGAACAAAAATTATAAATATATTAACATGTACAAAATTGAAACAACTAATATTAAGACTAGGGAATGGAACTAAGATGGGTCTATAGTTGGATATGTGTGCACTGTTACCAGACTTGAGAATAGGTGTAAGATAACTCACTTTCCAGAAATCTGGGAATATTCCCGAAGCAAGAGACTTATTAAATATAATGTGAAGTGGCCGCAAGAGAACAAAACTAGAAAATCTGAGAACAGAAGGGAGATACCATCAGGTACTGGTTTCTTAGTAATGTCAATACTAGCCATCTCTTCATAAATGATTGATATAGGAATAACATACTCAGATATAGAAATGTGATTAAGTGACGGTTTACTTTGAGGATCAATATTCTTATCAGTATATACTGACTTGAAGTTATAACCTAAACAATCGTTCAACAAAGATAAATCAGCCAACCTAAAAGCATAATAAAAAATGTCATTCTGGGTACCTCTCACATTAGAATGATTCAAGGAATTCACAGTCTGGAAGCTCAAAAGAGGATGGTAACCATCAGCTGGAACCAATGCTTCATCGCTCAAGGTCATTATAGTGTTTCCATCTGTCGATAATATAAGATCTAGTATTTTGCCAGTGTTATTAGGAATTTTATTCACCTGATATAAATTGTGAAATGCGCAGGTATCACCCATTAAGATGACCACATCTCCCCTATGATTTTGTTCCACCACTGGCACTGTAGGTACTGAGCAGTATTCCTCGGTTGACCAGGAGCAATATGGTATATTGAGGTCTCCACAAAGCCAAACAGATCCTTCATGATTTTCAATAATGACATGAAACATTGGTACTTATTTATTGGAGAGCGAGGTGGTATATAGACTGCAGCGATGATTATTGCATCAGAACCTGATCCAATAAGTTGTTAATATCACTTGAGGAGCTAGTAAGAGTCTTCAATACAGCAATGAGAGCACCACCTTCTCTTAAAACATTACTTGTATTTTGGCTTCTATCACTTGGGTAAACATTATAATCGAACAATTCTAACTCGCCATCGCTGATATCACTGGTCAGCCATGTTTAAGTCAATATGATGATGGAATAACAATTTGCAGATACATTTGATTGAAAAACATTTAATTTAGTTCTTAGTCCGCGTACATTCTGATAAAAAGCATCAATATTATGTTTTGAGTGAAACTTGAGTTTATTTGCACCAGGAGAAGGCTCTACTTTGAGTTTTTTCTTGTAGCTTGTATTGATTATATTACTTACATAGTATAATTCACAAAACATCTTTACCCATATATACATTCTTCAAGATATAAAAGTCATTACAAATTACAAACCCATTCAAATTGTTTCGTGTTTCTTTCAACCGATCATAAGATGACAAATTTCTTAAATACCAATACAGGTAGCAACTTAAAACAAAGTCTTAATGATCTATGTTTTATTCAAGGAATAGAAAAATAATTTATTATACTTTCACTCGTATATTATATATTTATTCACGTATTAGGTTTTATAAATATATACTATCATTTATTTATTTATTTATTTCTTTTTAAGGTGGTAATGTGCCAAGATTTCCAGACCCTAGAGACTTCAGACTGGCCATTGTGGACGAGCCAGACGGCATAAGATTAAAAATTGAATTCTTATCGCCGGCTCTATCAAATATTACTGTTGACGTTACGATCCTTGTGGCCATTGGAATCGATTGCTGGCCCGCCTCAACTGATTTTCCCAACAGATTATCCCTGGGACATCCGGATTGTTTATTGTACCATCAGGCGGCTCAAACGGTAAATGTACTTTTTATAATAAATGGGGATCCTGTTATCTGCTACTACTTTCAAAATCTGTTAAAGAGAACGACTTGCAAGGTCAAATAGGGCGTCAATCAACCCCAAAGGGAATTTTCTGATTAACCTATAATAGAATATAGAATAGTAGTTTTGGTTGCTAAAGAGTTAAAATTCACGTTCAAGTGGAATCAGTCTCGATGCCGTGGCATCACAAAATCGAACTGCGAACTATCCTACTGACTGCGCCAGTTAAGTTATTTTAGAATCAAAACTTATTTTTGAAAACAGAACTTTATTTTAAATTACAATAAAATACCGGTTTACTCGTCCGAGGTTAAAGCAAGAATGAATTAAATGTTAACAAGAATTATCTACAATGAAATATGATATCTGTACAGCGTCACTATTATTTATATGATATGACAAAATGTCTTTATATAACTCGCTGCTTTTTTCTTCTTCTAGGGGATGTACTTGGTGGGCTACGGGGTACACTCTTCAGCTTGGCAAATACGTATGCCAGCAGCAGAATACGCAATCTTATCTCATTACGGTCAAAATAGCACTGTAAAAACGGTTCTGGATATGCTTTATTTAATTTTGGAAGACATTGATGGCTCTAGGATATCAAGAAAACATCATGTAAGTATTTTCCGAAAATCCAAAACCACATTGTAGTGATTGTATTATATTAGAATAGTCCATACTCTGGAACGTGCTTACCATCGGCGTAGCTAGCCTCAGTTTTCAGGGGGGCCGTGGCCCCAGATGTACGTTGGATTAAAATTTGGGGTTTGTGGTTTTGCGAGGGTTTACTGTTAGCCCCTCCTCTCTACACCACTCATCAACGATGTTTAGAGCGGTGTCTATATCTCTATATGTCATAAAACAGTATATATTAGAGGTAGTCGATGAAGAACGAGAGTCAAGTTGATGTAATATATAATGACCTTTTCAAAGGCTTTAGATCAAAGACATTATAATATTCTTATAAAAAAAGTTTGAAAGCAAAGAGTATTTTTATCGTACCGAAATTACCGTTTCAATTATGTCTTTTATAACGGTTGTACCTCCCTACCCTTTACAACAACATCTGGAGTTCTACAGAGCTCCAATCTGAGACCAGTGTTCTTTAGTATATTTATAAATGACTTAGCGATAAATTTAACATGCCATCACAATCAGTTCGCTGATGACTTAAACGCTTTATTCAGTTAATTTTGAATTATTAATGACATGTTTTATAATTTCTTTTAGGTATCCTACAAAATCCTAACCAAATACATACTAGTAACGGCGTTATTAGAAGAACTCGAAGAAAGTTCACTGGGTCCAATAAGCGATATGATAATCTGGTCACCTTTGCATCTGTCGACACATTTACTTAGACTATTGGACAAAATAGTTGCCAAACTTCAAGCCGAAAGGTTGCCAAATTATTTTTTCAAAAAAGCTAATTTACTTGTAAACCCGGGCCATTTGACCGACGATGACTTCGTTTTAGAAGCTAATAATGTCAAATCCGTCGTAGCGAGGCTATTTGACGAATCACTAATGTCTACAAAAGGTTGGTATAGTTTTTTTTTTAGAGTTTTCGGTAGGTACGTCAATATTATAGAAATGGGTTAAGACGCAGTCTTATACGATTGTGTCTTTTTGGCAATATTGTCACATGTTTTTTTTATGTAGAATATGTAATATATTTCGAATGAGGTAGCGTTTTCCTCATTTAAATCACGATGTCGCGTTTTATTTGTTTAAATCGAAACAATAATAACGTCTATATAACGTTCGTTTGGTGCTATGGTATCTATATGACAGTTCATATTAAATAACGTTTTTCTACACCCACATGGATATTAGCTTATCTACGCACAGACTACAAAACGAAAAAGTATACTATTGTCATTAATCGGGTAAATAATGGCAATGTTGCTACGTATGTTTTTTGTTATATATCACATATATACGTATTTCGAACCAAGATACATGTTAATGCCTTTTGGCAAGGATGTAACGATTTCCGACTTGTAGCAGTAAATGTATAACCTTGAAACTCAATAATTTGTTATCTTAATGACATTAAGTGATATAGGTTAAAATAATAATATAGATATGTAGATTTTTTGGATTCATTTAAGCACCATAATTACGAATTATGCATTTGTTGGTTTCCTTGCATTTTAAACCTTTTCTTTCTTATTCCAAAGGACGTTGAATATGTAGCCCTCAAGTTCTATCGTTTAATTTTGTGTATTACATGTTAAGTTCCTCATTAAGGTCGTAGCAAAAATGTGGTATAAACTATTTTATGTTTCTGGATACTATGATATATCACCATTCCGAATTAAGCATTATTTTTAGGTTTATATGCATTTTAAGCCTTTTTTTAGTGATTTCTCGCAGTTTCAAAGGACTGTTGTCCAAGTAAGCGTCAAATATGTGATCCTCACCCATTCACTTAGTTATCAAACTTTTTTTTAGCTCATCATATATTTTTACAATGACGTTACGAATGACAGATTTATAGTTAGCATGTCACATTACATAATCCTCCCAAATGTATGAGAATTGATGCTATTATTAAAAAAATTACGAAGAAGGTCCCAATGAATGACGGATTCCGTTATTATTTTGACAATTTACTTTAGAACCTTTTTAACGATACTACAGTACATATTATTACGAATTCTAACAAAAAAAATTATAAAAATTCTGTTAAACCAATATTTAATTTAATTAAAACTGAATGAATAGAATTATTTTTATTCGATAAATCTTTCTTTCATTTTTTCTACAAAAATCAACAAATCCGGAAACTTTTTGACGATGTTTTCCAAGTGATTTCCCGGTAAAGCTGTGGACAAAATTGCGTACATATGTCCGAAAATGCTGGCATCTAATTCGGTATCTTGTCCCACGAAAAACTGCGTTTTTCCTTCCAGTCTGTCGTTGATGGCTTGACAACAATTTTCAAATTCTAATAAAACGTCACTCAATGATTTTTGCGACCAATAATGAGTTTCCAGCTTTTTCAAAACTTGGTTACGTTTGGCCGATGTTTGGAGTTTGTTTAAGGGCCACGGGAAGACGCTGCTGTATTTGGGCCTAAACACAAACAAAATTGATACAAATCAAAAAACAAGGCAAATTTTATCATGTTCCATTTTCCAAATGCAAAATATGAAATATTATGTATCTCCATCTGAAGCTACCCGAGTTCTTTCGAAATCAGAAAAAATTGTGGAGCAAACTACATAAATAAAACTAGCGCCTCTGTATTTCCGATTGTAAGACATCAGTATCATTTTCTTTGTACAGAGAAAACCGCTTACATCCATTTAATAACAGCTACAGTTACAATTACGGGTTCTATAAACTTTTTTTACTACTAATCTGGTAATAATTACCTGGTAATGACTTCGTAAGTCTCCTTATCCACCCATGACACGAACAATTCGCACAAATGTATAACATTCGGTATTAGCGACATGTAAGCCTTCAAATTAATCTTCTGTTCTTTGTCTAATCTGTCCGTCAATTTAATATTTCTATTATTAAGAAAATTGATGATTCCATCCAGTTCCGATACGATGACATTATCGACTTTGATGAAGGGCACATTTAAAGTGGGCGACATGAACTCGGCATTTTCTCGTTCTTCAACTTGGAATTTCAAGTTACACATTTTTAGATACGTTTTGACCGTTAGGCAGTTCGCGTAGTCTGGCAAAACCATCTAAAAAAATTACAATTCATCTATATTTAGCAATATTTCTTTGATTGCTATCAATACTATCGAGTTTTGGATGATTTATGAGGTAGTACCAGTTAGTAAACCAGTCAAGAAGACTTAAATGCTTTTGGTTTGAACAGTATCCAGTCATAGCTGGTCTAGAACCAGTCTTGTTACATAAATTAACCTACATCCTATATATTACCTGGTGATGTTTAACTGGTGTAAACATTATGACATCTTCTGGCCATGATGGTACCGGCGTACCCGGTATTGACAAATAAATAGCCCAATTTTCTTTAATTTTGGATAAATTTATAGGTTGTTCCTCATCAACCTTATCTGATTCTTTTGGCACATCATTATCAGTAACGGTATTATTATCAGTATCATTTTTAAGAATAACATAATCATCAATTTTAAGATCATCGTCGTCTTTAGCCTTTGTCATTTTTAAATCCGAAGTTGAAACGTCAAATTTATATCATAATGACAATTCTGAATGACACAAATCTGCATAGTTAGTGATGCCAAGTTTAATACGTTTTTTTTGACAAGAATGACAGATAAGCTAAAATATCTCTAGCTAGATATCAAAAATAAGTATTTCCCCTCATAATGCATACTTATAAATAAATTATGTACAAAAATACAGAAGGCATCGATACTAAAAACAAGCAAGCATTGTACAGAATTTCTTAATGATTCAATTTCTAGGAAATGATGAATTTAATCGAATCATACAAGCCCAGGAGAGCGAAATGATTCTTTTGTTGAAGTGGAGGGACCTCGTCGAAGGATTACTACCACCTCCAGGCACCAGAGGACGACGATTTTGCTTTGCAGGATCAAAAAACAGACAGGAAATAGCCCATACGCAATACACCATGAGACAGTTGGAGTATATAGGAATGCTATTAAATAGGATGTTAATGGTTAAACAAAATATTATGCAGGTTAGACAAATTCGAAAAAAGATGTTAATTATTATATTTTTATATTTACCTGCCTAATAAATGTGGTATATTAACGTTTGAACGAACAAATTTGACGTTTTGTAATATCCCTTACTTTTGACATGATGTTCTTGAAGTTTAATATGATTTTCTTGACTTTTGGCCTATTTTTCTTGACGTTTGACTTAATGATCTTGACGTTTGACCTAATATGCCCGATGTTTGACCGGTTTTGCTTGAATGCTGACCTGATAAGCTTGAGTTTTGACCTGATAAGCTTGAAGTTTGACCTAATATGCCTAACTTTTGCCTTGATTGGTAAATGGCTATAGAGATTTGGATCAAAATAATTTTATTCGTGAATTTATACCGACTACAATACGTTAGTTGACTGGTTCTAGTATTTCTTATCAAGGCAAACACCTACCTAATAAATGTATTATATTGACATTTGATCTGATAAGCTCGACATTTGATCTAATATGCTTGACGTTTAACTTGATGTGCTTGATATTTGACTTAATATGTTTTACGTTTGACCTATTATGCTTAAAGTTTGACGTATGTTTAACGTTTGACTTGATGTGCTTTATGTTTGACCTGTTTTGCTTGACATTTAATTTAAAAGCTTGATGTTCAAGCTAGTATGCTCGACGTTTGACTTCGTAAACAACTACAGAGATTTGGGTCAAAAACACTTTATCCCCACGAATTTTCAATGTATCTCCACTTCTACTTCTATCTCTACCGCCCATAATACTTTAGTTGGCTTCTTATGAAGACAAAAGGATTATCTATTTTATATGTATTTTAGTTTGATAACTCAATGGAGGATTTCATCAATTCTCAAAACTACCACCAAGATCATCCATTAGAAGACATAATATTTGTCCTAGTGACAATCATGGATCAAGCTAGAGACCAGTACTTATCTACCGCTACTAATCCTGCCATAATAAAAAACAGACTAAAAATAAAAAGCAACTTTAACAATCACACGTCAAAATTAGTGGATCTCATGAGAAAAGATAAAGAACTCTTAAGTTTAGTGACTTTTGAGGAAGATCTGAGTTTGGTAAAGACAATACTTAAGTGGTTATATAGAGGAATGGATCAAAGTAAGCGATATTTAGGTCCAATTTTGAGGCCTTATTTGAACAACATTTTCTCATCGTCTCACGCTATTTCTTGGCATTTAGAAAGCATTAAAGATAGATTAAATAATGATGAACTAAGTGCGTTGGGATTGTTTGCACAATTGGTGAATTCTGGTTCAATAACTCCGGCTCAAGGTCTGATAGATTCGGTAAACAAGAACTGGAATTGGGCTAAAAATATGTTAACCATGGTTGAAAAGAATACCTTAAGAGTTATCTTCATTTCTGACAGGGGAAAAGTTTACAGACATATTTTGTCGTTACCGTCCTACCATAGAAAGAGCAGCTTGCAATTTGACAATAAAACATTGGAGAGTAGAAATGAGAAGAAAGAAATAAGACGACAAAAGACGTTGCCAAATAGAAGTTATTTTAACTCTATTTTAAGTGAAAGTAAGAACTTCATTTAAATTTTATTTATCTGTAATAATAAAATTAAAACTCGTTCTTTCATTGTAATGTTTCTAGGATCAGAACCAAATGGAGATGACATAATTCCGCAGCATGATCATTTAAGAAATGACAGTCCTTTGAGCTTAATTATGAGCAAGAAACACAGAAGAGGTGAACACAGAGGCAGCGGAGATATTTTCAAAGCCTTAACTTCAATGCAAAAATTAAGTGTGAGTACAATTTTATTTTATCAAAAAAAATATCCATTCAGAGACCTTTAACTCACTAACGTCCTTAAATGTCCCTGTTTTTTTTACGATTCTTGGAAAGCCTTAAAGGTCGTTGACAGTATCTGAGTCCCCAAAAAGTACTTAAAGATCTTCGAAATTTTTGGAGGTCTTGAATTTTTTTATAGTAATAGTAATAGTAATAGTAATAGTAATAGGTTGAAGATCCTTGAAGATCCTTAAAGATCCTTGAAGATCCTTGAAGATCTTTAAAGATTCTTGAAGATCCTTAAATATCCTTGAATGGCCTTAAATGTTTTCAATTATGCCTGAAGGTTATTAAAGATACTTGAAGGTCCTTTAAGTTTTTTGCAGGTTAGGTCTCTGAAAGTGTTTCAATTTTTTCTAAAAACTAGAGGATTCTTGGAGAGACTTAAAGGTCGTTGACAGTATCTGAATACCCAAAAAGTACTTAAAAATCCCTGAAAGCTTTTGGAGGTCTTGAATTTTTTTTAATGGCAGTAGGTTTTTATTAGAAATATTAGTAATTGAGTTGTATATAGATTTGCTAAGAGTCCTTGAGTATCATTTGAAATATCTTTGAAAGTTCTTAAATATCTTTGAGAGTCCTTAAATATCCTCTAAGGTCCTTAAAAAACTTGAAAATATTTGAAGATCCTTGAGGATCCTTGAATATCCTTAAAGATCCTTGAAGATCTTTGAAGAGCTTTGAAGATCCTGGAAGAGCCTTGAAGGGCCTTAAATATCCTTGAAGATTCTTGGATTATTGAAGATCCTTTAAGATCCTTTAAGATCCTTTATGATCCTTTAAGATCCTTTAAGATCCTTTAAGATCCTTTAAGATCCTTTAAGATCCTTTAAGATCCTTTAAGATTCTTTAAGATCCTTTAAGATCCTTTAAGATCCTTTAAGATCCTTTAAGATCCTTTAAGATCCTTTAAGATCCTTTAAGATCCTTTAAGATCCTTTAAGATCCTTTAAGATCCTTTAAGATCCTTTAAGATCCTTTAAGATACTTTAAGATCCTTTAAGATCCTTTAAGATCCTTTAAGATCCTTTAAGATCCTTTAAGATCCTTTAAGATCCTTTAAGATCCTTTAAGATCCTTTAAGATCCTTTAAGATCTTTAAAGATCCTTTAAGATCCTTAAGGATTTTTGAAGATCCTAGAAGGTCCCTAAAGATCTTTGAAGATCTTTGAAGATCTTTGAAGATCTTTGAAGATCTTTGAAGATCTTTGAAGATCTTTGAAGATCTTTGAAGATCTTTGAAGATCTTTGAAGATCTTTGAAGATCTTTGAAGATCTTTGAAGATCTTTGAAGATCTTTGAAGATCTTTGAAGATCTTTGAATATCTTTGAAGATCTTTGAAGATCTTTGAAGATCTTTGAAGATCTTTGAAGATCTTTGAAGATCTTTGAAGATCTTGTTTTTTGAATATTCGTGAAAATTCGTGAATATTCGTGAAAATTCGTGAATATTCGTGAATATTCGTGAATATTCGTGAATATTCGTAAATATATTCTTGAATATTCTTAAATATTCTTAAACTTTCTTGAATATTCTTGAATATTATTACATATTCTTGAATATTATTGCATATTCTTGAATATTCTTGCTTATTCCTGCATATTTTTGAATATCCTAGAAAAATATTGAATGTTCTTGAATATTCTTAAATATTCTTGAATATCGTTGATGAATCTTGAATATCCTTTATGGTTCTTTATCATTGAAGGTCATTGAATGCTCTCAGAGGGTTTTGAAGGTTCTTAAAGGGAATGTTTTTAAGGTCCTTGAATATCCTGGATGGTCTTTGAAATTTCTTGAATAGTCCTTGAAGTTCCTTTGGAGGTCCTATAAATTCCTTGAAGCTCTTTGTAGGTCTCTGAAAGTTTTTTACTGGTTTCTAAAAACTCTTAGATTTTCCAAAGAATTATAGTCGTTTTTTTTTCTTATAAAAGGGCATCATCAGGAAGGGTTTTGATCTATACTGAAATATTAAAATGATTTGGTTGATTCTGTTTCATTTTTGTATTGTAAATGATAAGACTTAAACATAAACTGGCACCATCTCTAAAATTAGACTAATTGAACCATATTTTTCCAGATGTTCCAAGAAGTAGCCTCTAATCTCCCAGCAGACGATCGTTTAGAAATCCTGGAACTAATTCAAAGCATTCAGACCGCCAAGTCCAGACGATCCTTAGCAAAAAGATGGTCAGCAACCCTACCTCAAGTGAACCATGGTCAAAAAAATAAATCACCATCAAACAATGAGGTTGTCCAAAAATATACGCCCAAAGAAGAAAGTGCTGGGATTAAAGTAACCGTTGAACCCAAAGAGAAAAGACCCAAAGAACCGGTCAGAAAGACCAGCGTTCTTTTGGAGAGCTGCAGAGCAGCTAGGATAAGGGAAGATAGCGGGGTGTTTTATTTGAATGACAGTTTTAAGATTAAGTCGTTATTGAGCAAGAGTGATTCGTTTAAATATTAGAATTTTGGGTGCACACGAATTTTGATCCAAAAAACAATTTCAAAAGAAGACTTTGGAAAAATTTTTCTTCTTTTAAGTATCAGTTTTGATTTATTTCGATTATTTATAGAGACACGCAGATATGCAGGTACAGTCCATGAAACCTCTTATGAGGGTAGCCTAACTGTGTTGTTAGAGACGGAGCTTCAAATGAGGCTTCAGTATTCTACATGGTATATATTTAAAGTTTATTTGTACAGAGGACTGACCAGTCTTTTTAGAATTAGATTCATTTAATGTTTTTATTGTTCACTTTGTGGTTTGGGTAGAAGAATCCAAAAGTATTATAATAATTTTTAAATATACATTTTTAAAATAGTGAATGCTTTTATTTTTAATTTAACATGACGATTCAAACGTTTTTAAAATTATAACAAATTAATCAAAATTTTAGAGTAGAAGGAAAGAAGTATACCGAGTGACAATAAGACCAGGGCAACGTTAATATGTTTTATTTGCCACTTAGACTAGGTAATAAAGAGAGAATGCGTAACAAGTATATCGAGCACACGTAGTATTTTGTGCCGATTATCTATTGGCCGTCATTATTTTGGTGCTACATGATACTATTACTCGAGAAGATAATAGTCCAGTCATTATAGTAAGTTCACCTCGGAATTCGAGATACCCAGCTGTAAGTCTGTAAATACTTGTATATTGACACCCTAAAAGTTGTCTCAAAACCTACATATGGTAAGGTGTACGCATCTATTAAATTTCAAGGTCAAAGGTCACAAAAATCGTTTTTTTGCGCTTTTTTTGTAAATATCTCATTTCCTATGGGTTTTTTGCTATTTGTATTTATTATCAATATTGTAGAATATAAAATTCTCTACAAATTTTGTTTAAAAAAATTTTTCATACGGTGAACCGTTTTCGAGATAAAGGGCGGAGAGCGCGCGGTCACAGCATCACTTTAGGTCAACCGGTGCCTCCGGTCAAAAACGCGCCATATATAGTTGAAGAACTATCGATAAATCAATGATTATAAATATTTGTCAATTTTTATTAACTATTATATTATATTTTATCATTTTTTTTCCTAACCTATCCACTTTTTATTCAGTGTTAATTTATTTAACAACACTTACCTGCCCATGTAATTGCAGAATTGTTAATGAAAATATAGGAATTATATTTGAATTTTAACCTAATTAATATTAATAACTTCTTACATGATGAAAAAAAAAAACAAATAAATTATGAATTAATCTTTTTATTAAAAAATATCATTCAATACATTTATTTTTATTAAAAGTAAAAAAATGGAATAAAAGGTACAAAAACTACAATTTATAATTTTAATCATCTTCTTCCTCTTCATCGTCGTCTTCCGGCTGCTGGTAAATTTCAAACTGGTCTTCATTATCGTCTTCAACGACATTTGTCTCAAGTTCTTCCATGATTTCAAGGTCAAAGGTTCCATCTTCGTTAATGTCGCTCTGATATGGTAGAGCATTGAGACAAGCTTGCCCATTACATTGGCCACAAGCTAAAGAGCATTGCAAGCCCGCTTTCCTGCATCCGCATCGCGAACCACAACCACTCTTGCAGTTGCAGAAAATTGTATTTAGCAAATTTTCTGGAGCAGGTGGTAAAATTGTCATGATAGGCTCCAGAAAATCGTTTCGCATTGCCCAACCCCATACCTGGAGTTCCAAATCATGCCCTAACCAAGTTTAAACTTGATAATATACACGTTTGAAATGTTGATGAGCAGCTGCACTTGTTGGTGGAATATTTGAAAGCTGCACAGGTTTATTAAGTTTTGTAGACTTGACGTAATGCATATAACGAAGATGATCGAGACTTTTCACAGATTTCGGAGCATTATAGACTGCCAATAAGGTTTGAGTTCTACTCTCTAATAATCTCTGGGCCGATCAATTTTCTTCCTCAAATGCTGCAGCTAGTTCATTCAAATTTGTCAGTTTCTCAAAAACTTTTAAAAATTATTTTGTTTTTCTTTTTAAAAAGCGCAGAAGTTGTGTCACAGCCACTTAATGCGTGCAAAAATAAAATATGTGTTTTGGAATGAGGATAATTATCAAAACTTTTAGTCGAGTATATCTCCGTTTTTACATTTCCTTTCACAACTTTTTTAAAGAAAATTTCTTGTTCGTAAGACAGTGTACGCCCAATTAAAATAACAAGTAAATCAATATCTTGTCCTATTATAACTGCAGTTTTTTCAGACTTTGATTCTTCAATTGTAGTGTCAACAATAGGAACATCCGGATCATCTCTGGCTTGTTTAGTAGTAATATTTACAGCTTGTAATTTTTCAATTAACATATTAATGAGCATATTTTTGTTATTTCGATTTGATAAGAATTTTTCTTGAGTAATTGGTACAACCATTGTTTCATCGAAACATACTTCATATGTTTTTGAAAGTGCAGCAGTTCTTCTCTGCTGGTCCATAGCTTTTACGTTCTTACTGTAATCTGAATTTTTTTAAACAAAATTTGTAGAGAATTTTGTATTCTACAGTATTGATAATAAATATTAATAGCAAAAAACCCATAAGAAATGAGATATTTACAAAAAAAGCGCAAAAAAACCAATTTTTGTGACCTTTGTCTTTAAAATTTAATAGTTGCGTACACCCTACCATATGTAGGTTTTGAAACAACTTTTAGGGAGTCAATATACAAGTATTTACAAACTTACAGCTGGGTATTTCGAATTCCGAGATTCTTACCTAATTTAAGCTTAAATGACTGGACTATAAGCCCACTTGACGATCCAATTTCGACCACGTTTGCGCATGACGTCACCCGATGACAACAATCCAGCTCGTGGGCATGGAAAAGCATTACGCTAGATCGGTTTTAATCAATATTTTATGTTTATTTATTATAATATTGATATATTATTAAATTAAATATTTTTCGGCTTGCCTAATCATCTTAAAATGTCCCAAAACGTGTAAAAAAGTATTATGAGCAAAAAAGAAAATTTCTGTCTATCGTTATTCACCATAACTTTTAAAGGAATTGCGCTATAGATAAGTATTATTCCATTAGGGGTCGGATTGGAATATTTTTAAGTAAAATTGGTAAAGGGGAAGGGGGTGAAATGTCGGGGAAAATGGTAAAAACGCAATTTTTCTTAAAAAATCGAGTGATATGTCGTTTTATAGGTTTTTGGCTATGGACATTTTGATTTTATAATCCGTTTAATATTTTAATAGATAATTAGAAAAAGAGTAAAAAGGGGAGGGGTAAAAATTTAAAATATTTAAAAATCGAGTTGTCTTGTACTATTATAATTTTAAAATTCGTTTAGTGATTTAATAAAAAAATTACAGGTAGGGGTAAAAAGGGTAGGGAGTAAAAATTCTACATAAATATTTGAAAAAAAATTCGAGTTAATTTTATTTTAGAGCTTTTAAAGTATAGACATTTTCATTTTACAATCAATTTAATATTTTTATCAAAATTACGGATGAATGTAAAAAAGGAGGAGTAAAAATTGAAAATGTTTGGATAAACAAGTAATAAATCGTCTTAAAAGTTTTAAACAGCAACATAAAAGTTTTACGCACGTTTACTTCTAAAACACAACAAACCAAAGAAACAAAATTAAATAATCAGTAATACACGCAAAACCGCTTTGCGCCATATAGAACTGGCTATTGCTGAGTCGGGTAGTCTCCCAGTGACGTCAGGCGTGAGAGAGAGAGATGGGCTGATCGCATGCGCGTGGGTTTATCTTCTCGAATAATAGTATCATGTTGGTGCTAATCATTTCGGTGACACCAAAGTTTTCGTTCGTGTTTATTTCTGATTTTTGAATTAAACGACATTTAATAATTGGTTTATTGTGTAGCATATTAGTGTAAAAGTTATAGCGGCAAGAAAGAAGCAGATATTACGTTTCACAGGTAAATGATAAACATCAATCGTTTTTACTTTATATATTTTCTTATATTTTTCATTTTATTTGGTATTATACAACTTGGTATTTACATATTGAACATGTCTCAGTCCAGAGTAATAAATTTTGTTTATTTTATGCTTTTCATTCATATTTAAGCAATTAATGATATTAAAATGGCCAAACAAGTAATTTTTTCCAGTGGCGTGGCGTACAATTCAAAATATTAACTTTTATTAAATTCTAATTTATTTTTGCTTTTTATTTAATTGCAGCAATGTTTATTTATTTTATTTTAGATTTTCTGTGGGTCAGCAAAAACATCTTTGGATTTAGGCATTTTTTTTTGTGGGATGGACTGTAAAAGACGTTTACTAAATGAAGCAATTCCCACTATATTTCCTGAATTCCCTAAATACATGCAGCCGAAGAAGGCGAGATTTGAACTCGAGTGTTTACCATTGACTGTCGATATTACTAGCAGACAGTTTAATGTGCTAATTTGGGCCAAGCACTTTCAGCAGGTTCGTTTTCAAATCTTCAAATACCTTTATGGCGTGAGGGACTAGAGAGTGGGCATTTGTGTACCGAACAAAGATGTCTGGGTTCGAATCCCAGCACCGACAGGCTTTTCTTCAAACCTCCAAATATATGTTTCACCTTTGGGGCTCAGGGATGGTCTTAATAATTCGTAGGGGGATTTGATTGAAAACTCAATTCACGCAGATGAAGATATGGGCTCAGTATGCATCAATGCATTTCTCATATACACCGATGCTGTATAGAGGTATTTGATGATTTGAGAACGAGCCTGAAACGGCGTTTGGCCCGAATTAGCATATCGTGATGGTCTAGAGCAGCGTTACTGAAAGTGTGGTCCGCGGACCCCTGGGCTCCGCAAATCCTTTGTGGGGGCTCCACGAAGAAAATAATAGTCATAATAAAAAAAATACTACTACTTGGCTTGAGGACCATTTATTTTTAGAAGTCACTAAGATGAAGGAGGATATTATTTTGATTCAGGACCTTTTTTTAAGGCACTAGGACGAAGAAAGATATGATTTACCTTGAAAACCTTTTTTTTAGAAATGTATTTAGGGCTCCGTCAAATATTTCGCTTTTCAATAAGGTTCCGTCGACAAAAAAGTTTGAAAACCACTGGTCTCGAGGTAGGGCATTTGTGTACAGAACAAAGATGTCTGGGTTCGAATCCCACCATCGATCGGAGATGGTTCTAATAATTTGTTTCCGAATTTTCAAATTATTTCAATCATGTATTTTTCAGTTTTCTTTCTGATAATGTAAAAAATCTGATGTGTCCAACACATGACTTTCCTATCTAGTTATTACAGGCTTTTTCCGTTTATTGTGTACAACCTATTGCAGCATCTCTATAAATGTTTAGAGGATAAACTAAATATATACATTGTCCACATACATCTACCGCGAAACATTTTTCTATAGATATTCATTGAAAATGAAAATACTGAAAAATTTAAATTTAGCACTTTTCCTACAATTTTTCCATTACGGTCCATTTAAAAAAAATCATGTATGAACAAATATTATAGAGATCGATATCGCAAACAACTTTTATTTCAACAATTTTCATAAAAATCAGAATTTTGCACATTTTGTCAAATTTCTCGAATACGGACCATTTCAGGAAATTTTTACATAAGGCAAAAATTATAGATAATAATATTAGAAGTAACTTTTATTGGAACAATTTTCTTCTCCAAACATAAATAACAGATATATTCCATAAAATATAAAAACGGCCTCCCATAAAGTACCCCCCCAGATGTTCCGACTTTGTCCAAAATCTAATCATTTCACGTCAGGCCGAAATAAAACTTAAGTTTAAAATTTATTGATTTTTTCTTTATCCGTTTTTGAGTTTTCTTCAAATTTCGAAATTTACACATTTTCTCAAATATCTCGAATACGGTCCATTTTAGAGAAATTATCTATGGGACAAAAATTATAGAGAATTATATTACAAACAACTTTTGTTTAAACAATTTTTATAAAAAAAAATATTTTTTTACATTTTGTCAAATTTCTCGAATACGGACCATTTTAGGAAAATTTTGTAAATAACAAAAATTATAGATAATAAAATAAGAAGTAACTTTTATTTAAAAAATTTTCTTCCCCGAACGTAAATAACAGATATATTCCATAAAATATAAAAATGACCACCTATAAAGTACCCCCCTAGATGTTCCGACTCTGTCCAAAATCTAATCAGCTCATTAGACGCTGGAATAAAGCTTAAGTTTGAAATTTGGTGTTTTTCCGTGTATCGATCGGTTCATGAGTTATGCGTTATACAGACACACACACACACACACACACACACACACACACACACACACACACACACACACACACACACACACACACACACACACACACACACACACACACACACACACACACACACACACACACACACACACACACACACACACACACACACACACACAGACACACACACAGACACACACACACACACACACACACACACACACACACACACACACACACACACACACACACACACACACACACACACACACACACACACACACACACACACACACACACACACACACACACACACACACACACACACACACACACACACACACACACACACACACACACACACATCATCGCGAAAATAGTCAAAACGGATTCAGGGGACCTCAAAACGTAAAAATCCGTCGAAAACTCGAGGTCGAAAAAAATCATGATTCCTATACTTTCTTTATATCTGTATACAGATAGGAAAGTAAAAAATATATACATTACTATGGTAAATGTTCTCAGAAAATGCAAAGAAAAGAAAAAAACTCGAATCCGAATTTTTTTAACATTATTAAAACTTCGATAGAAATTTCCAGAGATACCAATAAAACTGTCATTGTTGTGGGTCAAGATATTGATCTTTTGGTTCTTTTGAATCAATTAACTTCAAATATTCATGACATTTATTTTCTCAAACCAGGTTCTGGAAATGTAAAAGATCTATTTTCACGTCTACTAGTTTCAAATATGAATCCTTCAAAAATATCGTTGCATTTCTGCATTATTTTTCTGGGTGCGATACAATATCTGCATTTGCCAGAAAAGGAAAGAAGAGTATTGTAAATTAATTATTAGACGATAAAAATGTGTCAAATTTGGCCAATATTTTTTATAAAAAAGATGTAAACAAAAAAGATATCGAAAAAAATGGATTACAATTAATCAAATCTATTTATAAATGTAAAAATGATAATATAACACTGAATCAATTAAGATTTCAAAAATATCAATTGGCAAATCTCCCACCCACAGAAGGTGCAGCAGAACAACATTGTTACAGGGCATATTATCAACTTCAAACTTTCCGAAAATTATTTTTACTTTCATTTTTGTTATATTCTCGTCCTGGTTATGTTGCAGTTGAAGGGTCTGGAAATGGGCCAGTGCGCACCATTCCTGTTCCGGCTAGTTCTGCCAGTCGGAATCGTTACGGAGTTGCCAGGTTATATTTAATTATTTGGAACCAGGGAATAAGCAGATTGAAATAACTATTTTACTTTTAATCATTTATTTACCAATTTTTACATCAATTAAAAAACCCAATGTTTTGAAGATTTTCAAGTAATACGATCGTTTTTTAATGTGAATAATACCTTTCAATAGTGATAATTACAAAATTTAAATTTAAAATCTATCAAAACTGTCTTATAAAACAAAACAGAATTGTTATTTCAAAATATAATATAAATCTTTATATTTATTTATCATACATTTTAATGTACAGAGGTTACAATTTGGTTGAAAAATAAACTATAAAATAAAACAAGCTGATATTAAAGTGGAGATTTGGCAACGTGGCTTGTGCAAATTCAAATTCTAGACGTCAGTGCAGAGTGGTGTGAACGCGCGCATTTCTAGACCCGTCAACTACAACATAACCCTCGTCCTTTTTTAACGAGGTTTATCCTACTATTATTTTTTTTTGTTTCAAAAATTATCAACCCTGGTCTATATAGACTTCAACTCGATTCTGTTAGTTAGACAAATCAGTACTAACATTTTTAATGGGCTTCAGTACAGCGACAGACAATTGCCGATAAACCTACGGACAGACGCGAAGCTGACCTGAAGCCGGGCCTGTCTTTTCACCCCGTAATCAATGGAGAATTGCGACGTCGCAAAACGCGAAAATCTCTCGCAGCATCCCTCACTGTACCGGCGAGGTGTGTCGACAAAACAACCCCTTTATAACGGCGAATTTAACCCTTTTTTTGTTGCCTTTTCGAACGGATTTTGCTAGAAAAATGGAGCCATGGTTCTCTATGAAAAATACGCAGAAGATGTGGAGCAATAGAAACCGGGTGTAACTGGAATAAGGTTAGTTATGTTTTTTTTTTATTTCGTAGATATTTTTTTGTTATTGACGTGTTGATCTAATTTCCTGTTGATTTTTGTTTGCCGGTCACAATTATGTGTCTTTGTTATGACGTTATTGTTTTAATATTTTAAAAAGAAAAAACAATACAATGAGCAGGTGTATGATGTTATGGATTGACATGTCGGGTTTTAGACGAGATCAGGACAAAATATTTCAAGGTCAATCAGTAATCACGACACAGTGGACAGTGTCCTTGGGATAAATTTTGAGTGCTTTTAATGGAAGTGTCCTATTTTATTTGACATACATAAAATTCTGCTACAAATGTTTCTTAATTTTAATTTGAAAATTATGTACTTGTCCCTGTTTTTTTTTTTAATGAAACTATACAGGGTGGTCCATTGGTGAGTCGAAGTCCCATGTTTCTTTTACCTTTATTATTTTTAATTTATCAATTAAAATAAAAATTTATCAAAAACTATTACTTTTAGGGCCTATATTGCAACAAATAAATTGTGAAATAATATAAAGGATGTTCAATTTGAAAAACAAAGTTTTAGCTGTTTAACGATTAGCAAGTTGATGCCCCTGTATAAAATCGCCTATACACAAAAATGAACTTTTGATCCACTCAGACGTTTTAGTTAACCTTTATCTTTGTATTTACCAAATATTTTAATTTAACTGTTAATAATAAAGTTTTTTAATCTTATTTGTCATGAACAATTTTTTAGTATTTTTTCACATTTTAAGCTATAAATTGGCAACGTTGTAGAATTAAAAAAAAAACTTCATACCCAAACAAAACATTTTACTTTGAAATTATAGGTCAAAAAATATACTGGGTGAATCAATTAAAAACATCGACATTTAAGCTGTTTCGATGTAAAACGGAACACTGTATATTTCGCAGTATTTTAGAAATATGTAAAAAGTAAATCGTATAACGTTTATCTAAAACATTTTCTACTATTTCTTATAATTAGAGAGATATTGGACTTCCTCGCACTAATGGGCCACCCTGTATACTTTTTGAAGTCAGTAGATGGAAATTTACAAATGATGTGACTATACAGGGTGTTATTGAAATACACGTACATATTAAAATGGGAAATAGTATGTAATGACCAAAAACGATTGGCACCAATTTTAACTTCAAATTCTAAAACTTAAATATTGGGGAAGAGTCCCCTTTTCCGACCTACTAGTTTCCATATTTAAAGAAGTAAAATAAATCGAAATTGAACTTACCCATAGAAATTGCACTGTTGCCGTAGCAAAACCAATTAATTCAAAATAAAGTTTATTACAGTAATTGTTCAAAATGCCGTCCATTATTATTTACACACACTTGCAATCGTCTTTCCAAAGAACTTTGAACATTAGAAATTAGTCTTGGATTTTGTCGTAGTTCCTCGGCTACCGCATTAACTTTATTGGTTAATTGTTCAACACTATTAATAGGTTCATTATAAACCAGTTGTTTCATGTGACCCCACAAAAAGAAATCGCATGGATTTAAGTCCGGAGATCTTGGAGGCCACTTAGTAGGTCCATTTCTGCCTATCCACTTTTGAGGAAATCTAATGTTCAAAAACTGCCGTACGTTTAAATCAAAGTGAGGAGGAGCGCCATCTAGTAGGTACCACATCCGTTGCCTTAATTGTAACGGTATCTCTTCTAGGAGTACTGGCAAAATATCTTCTAAAAAGTGGAGATATCCTGGCCCATTTAATCTGTTCGGGAGAACATAAGGCCCGATTAAATACTGATCTATTATGCCAGCCCAAACATTTATTGAAAATTTTCTTTGATGCCCAGTTTCCCTAATGGCGTGAGGATTTTCATCACTCCAAATATGCGTATTGTGCACATTGAACACGCCATCACGAGTGAATGAAGCCTCGTCAGTATACAATAATATTTTTAGAAAATCAGGAATATCAACACATTTTTGAATCATCCATTCACAAAACTCCACTCTCTTTTCTTCATCACCTGGATATAAGGCCTGGACTTTTTGGATGTGATAAGGATGTAAACCTTGTTCTTTAAGTGTCCGCCACACAACAAATGAGGACACTCCAATTTCAAGACCTAGTCTTCTACAACTTTGAGGCCGGTTTTCAACAGCTTCCAATATTTCTTCTTCGGCCGCCAATGTTCTTTGTGTTCTTGTTCTCCCTCGATCTGTATTGACACTCTCAAATTTTCCATGGTCTCTTAGATGCTGAACAGTTGAAATAAACGTACGACAGTCCGGAATTCTCCGATTTGGAAACCGTTCGCGATACAGGATTTGTGCTTGCCGAGAATTTTCTCCAGCTGCCCCATAAACCAGCACTATATCCGCTAGTTCAATATTCGTAAATAGTGGCATCGTAAAAAAATATTTAAAAGTAATCGTAACAACACTTTTTACCAACTTGGAAATGACGCGCTCGTGTTAGCTAGATTCGTAAATCAACTAAAATTTTAATAATCTATAGTTTCAAAAATGTATAGTTTAAAAACAATCATTTATCAAATATTCTAGTTTTTTGATAACGAGGGTAGTAAAAACCAGTCTTCGGAAATAGAAATTAATTCGAAAATCTTGGCAACATGGTTATTTCTTACAAGACTAGTTTTCTTATCATCTGACAAAAACTTGCATATTAATTACTGTTGATGTTTAAAATAGGTAAATAAACCTAATTTATATAGGTCATCCTCAACATATCAGTGAAGTACGTTTGTTTTAGAATTAATTTTCAAAAATTAATAACTCCCTTAATAAGGGGTATTTTTAAAAAATAATATTTTTCTACATTCAGTGGGGATCTGTGCAATACCCAGTTTTAATATGTACGTGTATTTCAATAACACCCTGTATAGTAGCTATTAGATTAAATTGATATGAAACCTTTAAGAATCAAAATATTTGAAATAAATATGCTTCTAAACAAATGACTGCATGTATTTGGACTTATAAATCGTTTATGTAGCGAAAAATATAATTTTTTACATGTCAATACAACTTCACATTTAAAATTAAATAAAAATACATAAGTATACAGTCAACGTATATGTAAAACGATAACATAATGTCAATTATACAAAACATAATAAGGAGGAACTTTCTCTAGACATTTTGTAGTTAAAATATTGTTTATCCCTGGCGCATACAGAAACAAATCATAATAGTCCAAGAGCCCACTGCAAATTTTTACCGTAATCTGATAAAAAAATGAAATTTACTCCAAAAGCATGTAACAACACTGTACTTTACCAAATGGCACCTGTGCCAATCCCCAATCTTGAGCAAAGCGGTTAACAAAAATAATTTTATGTTAAAAAAATTAATTAAGGCATGAACGCGTTGATTTTGTTTGCCCTTAAAGTTTTCCAGAAAATAACATATTCAAACATATATCTTGATATATATCGAAGGGAAACATTTTCTTCCTCTTAACATCGCACAAAAACATCTACCCACGATTTATTTGTATGCCTATTGTTGTGATTCATTTTTACAAGTTACCATAGAAACGACAAATTTTTCACACATACGTATGGTTTAAAAGGTAGGTAAAAATATTAATAATTCAGGTTTAAAAGATAGGTTCAAATTAGGATTGAAATTTTCAGGGAAAACATAATTGTCGCTTTCATATCTTTTTTGTACATAAATTTTCTTTTAACCACTTTGCTCAGGATAGGGATTGGCACAGGTGCAATTTGGTAAAGTAGTAAAGTACAATGTTGTTACATGCCTTTGGAGCATATTTCATTTCCTTATTTAATTATGAAAAATAGTAATTTTCTCACTTTGTATTGATGAAATATATGGGTGGTTATTATTATAAGTATGTGGTATGGTATTTTTCTTCTCGTTTTCACTTTCCATTATGTTTGTTATATGATTAATAGACATTAATAAATTACCATTATTTAAAAAAAATTGAATATAGACGTATTTTTTACTCGATAAAGATAAAATTAACTGAATTTTTCTGACAGTTCGCAGTCATTATTTGTTTTCATTTGAGGTACTTCACCTTCTACCGACATCTGGTGGATTTTTTATATACTATTCAATTTTTGGTGCCATATTTTAAAAAGAGTGGAAACACCTGTAAAACGTCAATTCACAGGGGGCAAATCTTAAATTAACGTAACCCAGCTTGCTGTGGCCACTCAGCTATCTTCAACAATTAAATTGATTTATCTTGATTTTTAGTGGTCAGAGGAAAAAGAAGTGTAATAACAAAAAATGTAGCGTTATTTTTTTTTTGTCACTGGCCATAATTTCTGTACTTTGTTACCAAAAAGACAAAGAACACCAAAACTACCAAAAATCAGTTTTTCAACGTTTTAACATTAATTAGAAAAGTTTTAGATCTCAAAAAACCTATAATCACCATTACAATAATAATTGTTTATAACTTATCTCAACAATACATTATATCCAACGATCAACATCTAAGTTACTGCGACTGAACGTATGGTATCACATACTTTGATTACTATACGGGGCAAGAGAGAGGTCCGACACGCCCAACATAGAGCGCGGCCATTTTGAACCCTATGACACAGTTTATAGCTAAAGAATCAGATCGCTCACTCTGCGTCGTCACTTTTTATCTCAATATTCCAGTTTATACACTGCGCAACTCAGATAATACAATATATGACAACCGCCTATAATAAAACAGCAGTCTTCTGCGTATCCTGAATTTGTATCCCTGGAGTGGATGGTATTTTGGAACTTTCAGCTGGTCCGAGGGAGCTAACTGATTCTTTAGCAATAAACTGTGACCCCAAAAATAATATTCACTGACACTGACAACAGCAAGCAAAACATCAGGTGCGTTTTAATCATCCGCTTCTGCTTCCGGAATTGTCGGTTCAGTTGTTCTAACCTGTCAGATTAAAACAAGAAAACCGACAATTCCGAAGCAGAAGCGGATGATTAAAACGCACCTATTAAAAATATTGCGCCAATATGTAGGCAACACGTAATAAGGGTTCAAAATGGCGGAGTTTTCTATCTCCTTTTAAAAGGCACTCAGAAAGCTGCGCAGTGCGACCATTCTCCGTATAGTAAAAGAAAATCAAAGTATGTGTATGGTATGCATGTAAGAAATTCAATTTTTTAAGTTATTATAGGATTCTTTCCGTAGCACATACTTTGATTACTATACGAGGCAAGAGAGAGGTCCGACACGCCCAACATAGGGCGCGGCCATTTTGAACCCTGTGACACAATTTACAGCTAAAGAATCAGACCGCTCACTCTGCGTCGGCACTTTGGATCTCAATGTTTCAGTTTATACACTGTGCAACTCGGATAATACAATATATGACAACCGCCTATAATAAAACAGCAGTCTTCTGCGTATCCTGAATTTGTATCCCTAGAGTGGATGTTATTTTGGAACTTTCAACTGGTCCGAGTGAGCTAACTGATTCTTTAGCAATAAACTGTGACTTCAAAAGTAATATTCACTGACACTGACAGCAGCAAGCAAAATATCAGGTGCGTTTTAATCATCCGCTTCTGCTTCCGGAATTGTCGGTTTAGTCGTTTTAACCTGTCAGATTAAAACAAGATAACCGACAATTCCGAAGCAGAAGCGGATGATTAAAACGCACCTATTAAAAATATTGCGCCAAGATGTAGGCAACACGTAATAAGGGTTCAAAATGGCGGAGTTTTCTATCTCCTTTTAAAAGGCACTCAGAAAGCTGCGCAGTGCGACCATTCTCCGTATAGTAAAAGAAAATCAAAGTATGTGTTCCGTAGCCTTGAAAACAGCTAAAAGTTATATATTTAAAAAGTAGTTATTTGTCAGTATATGGAATAGATTTTGTTTAACTATATATTGGCTGATTTATTTGACAGTGAAAGGCCGAATAAAAAACAGAAGAATAAAAAAAAACTGTCAAGCGTAACCGCGATAAGCATGAAATGGAATCCCACTTTAATAATTTAAATGTTAAGATCAAATTGATAAAATAAATAATAATTGTAAATAAATGAGTTAAAAAAATGTTAAAAATTTTTCTGACCGAATATCCCTTGGCCAGTTCATAATTTTATTCCAACTACCTCAATTCTGTTTCTGCTACTGTGAATACCCCTCTATTTATTTATCTATGGAATACCCTCAAGGCACTCTTTAAGAAGGAATAACCGCCCTTCCACTTTCCATGACCAAATGTTTATCAGCAAGAAATCTACGAAAATATAATCTAGACACTAAACCGTTCGTTCAGTGTCCCATCTGCCTTATGTTTCCATGTCCCAAACGATGTGCTAAAGAACAAGGGAGAGTGAGTGAGAAGCAATTTTACGAAATTGCTTCCGTAAGTTGGGAATTGGGGTCGAGTTATAATACCAGTCTGAAGAGGTTTGAGAAATCTGGATAAACACGATCATAGGGATGCTATAAGAGAGCAATATTCTCGAGTATAAGTCGGTTAAACTTAATCCGAGACGAATAGGATGTATGTAGGTGGTATTGCAGCAAGTTATTTGAAACTTGTTAAGAATAATCAACTAAGTGAGTCAGAGTGGATTGAGTTTTATCTGCAGAGGTTGCTAAAATATATACGATCGAATACAAGACGTTTTTTAAATATTGGGCAGTATTTTTATCGGTTATTCAAATGTAGAGTGTGGCAAAATATATCCAGCTATGGAATATTGTCATAATTTTGTTATTTTCTTGACAACTGACAAATGTGAAGTTTTATATAAAAGGAGACAGATCGAGATTTTTTATTATGGAGCGTTATTTGCATATATGTTCGTATATGTTGTTAAATTGTATTTAGAAAACTGTTCTTCTAAAATCAAGGAAAAACAGTTCGACGTTTGACTAACGCATTGGAAGACCTTGTTCTTGTCGTTCAAACAGAAATATTGAGCTTATTCGGCAGAGTTAACTGGTATCCGGATACTAATTTTAATATAAAAAAAACATGTGGATGAATAACACCGCTTGAATAGCACATATGACAGTATCTTTGTCTTTTCTGACATGCGCTTAATTAGGCGATTATCTGTCCTTAACTCCTATTAAGATAAAATTATTTGTTTGAATACATACAAATATTTACTGTTATTTTTTTACAGCCTAAACGAATAGTTTGGGAGATCTTCATGAAGAAAAGAAAAACTACGTCCTAAATCCATAATGTCTTCAACACAACCGACTACAAATAGTACACACCCACTATCACCGATCATTAAAGGAGATACAGATACGACTACAGTCCAATCAGTTACATCAGGTAATAATAAACATTCTAAATTATCAGGATTTTAATATTGAAAATAAAATTGCCATGTGGACAGATTTTTCTGTCTTAAATAAATATTTAAATTGCCTCTAGCATGCCTCAAGGAACTGTTCTTAAACCTGAGATTCATACGACTTTTCTATTTTATTAACATTAATATTATCTCGTTTTTATGGCTACAAATATTATATGTAACACATAATTTTTGATTCAGGTACGGTGGCTGGTCTAACGAAACTGACAGAAAATGTATCTAGGATTACCACTACGGTGGCACCATCTTCAGTTTTGTATAATAAAACTCAAAAGTCAATTAACGAGCTGCTTTACAATGGAACCGGATATTACATAGAAGATGAGGAGGAACCAGGTAAATATCATTTTTACATAGCACATTTCAAAGATTTTTAGAAGGTATTTATTAGATTTTACCAATGCTTTACCATATTTTTACTTGATTTTACCGGGACTTTACCTGGTTTTTACCATACCCAACCTGATACTTTTAAAAGATTAGCCTGAACTTTTTCAACATCAAGTAACAGATGAGGGTATACTATATATATTTCTTATATCGTATCTTAGACTATGTGCTATAAATAAAGAATTAGCAAAAGATCTGGTACAAAATCGACCATTTTCTTATGGCAATCTCAATAAGAAATTTTATGGTTCAAATTAGTAAAAAAACGAGAGGTCACACGCTTGCGTTATACCTGGCAATAACATCTGTTAATGACATCTATCAATGTCATCCGTTATATCTGTCGCTAGGTGTATGATACCTATGCTACCATCTGTCGTATCTACCGCTAAATCGACACTGTCAAATATCAATATTCTTAGTAATCTGTGGCAACTCACCATACAGCATCATTATTCGATATCACTGCAACTCACCATACACAATAATTATTAATATTATTTAATAAATAAAAAAAGCTGGACTCGGTAATTGAACTCTTAAGAACCAGTTGACAACGATCGTCGTTTTAACCATTACATTGCGAAGACATTTAAAAATGTGTTACTATGTGTAAGAGTGAGAGCGTACAGTGTACGATGAACCAGATCGAGAGATACCTACGATGATACCACAAGACATAAAAAATATACCTCAATAAAATGTTCCCTTAGAACACCTCACAACCCCCAAGGAAATCTATGAAATAATTAAACGGTCACCCAGTAAAAGGGCTCCAGGACCCGATGATATACATAATAAATTAATTAAAACATTTCAAAAACAGTAATTATTCATATTTTAATGCATTACATCCTCAATGCAATTATTAAACTTCAATGGTATCCGGACACATTAAAAGTTGCTAATGTGGTTCCGGTACGCAAAAGTGGTAAAAATAGATTTGATATAGAGAGCTATCGTCCCATATCTCTTCTAAACGGCTTAGCCAAAATTACAGATCGTGTCCTGCTCACGAGGCTACACACATACGAACAAGACAAAACTATTATACCGTCGGAACAGTACGGTTTCAAAGCTGGACACAGCACGATTGCACAAATACTAAGAGTTGCGCATCATGCAAAAAATTCTGGATGATGGGGCCCTTCTGTAGACCTGTGATTTGATTTTTCATGTACATAAACTATCACAAGACACACTTACATACAAGGACAACCCTGTTTTTTACTAACGGTTTTTCAGGGAAGACAGACAAAACTAAAATCACACAAAAACCAAAAACTATCCCATTATTGTTCTCGCAAGCTCACCAAAATTGACTAATAATGTTGTAAATGTAACAAGGAGAAGTCACATCCTCATAATACTAAATATTATCTGGTGTTTGCACGACCACAATATCGGTCATGGTCTCGTCTGGGGCCATAACAGAAGAGAACACTTCCCCAGTAGAAATAAGAGCGCATATTGTTGATTTGCTTGCCTAAATCATGTTCTAGAACTGCTGGAAAATGAAAATATTGGAAACATGTAGTTTCAGCTAGATAGTGCTGTATTACATTTCAGAATACCTGTAAGAGATTTTTTAAATGAAAACTTTTCTAACTTGAATAGATCACAGTCTACAATGTGACCGGATTTTAACCCGTTTGGCTATTTCCTATTTAAAATCAGTCGTTTAAAGTGATGAGTCATCGAACAAATTGTTGAACAATATGTATTCATCAAAATGGTTTTGTTATTTTCAAAAATTATTAGGCAACAATAGATTGTTTTAATAGTTTTACACAGCTAATTTACGAAATAAAAAAAAATTGTTTCTTGACACATATCTAGGCTTTCTGTATAGTTAATATGTTTATAATTAAATCTTACTATTAAACTAATTTTTGTTAATTCAAAACAATCTTTTTGATTCCTAATTTCCTTAATTTTCATTACACAAGACCTATTTAAAAAATGAATTATTTAGCTAACTAGGAACATGTAAAATATTATGTACATAAATAAATTTAAGACAGAAATTATTTTAAAATTCTAAAACGAAATACGTAAATTTAAAAAGACTCTAATCTACATAAATTGTTTCCTCTCTTTTGAAATCGACGCCTGACACGAAGACTGTAAAGGTAACTCATTTTTTCCCGTAACTGAGTTACAAGAAGAACATAGACAGAAGTTGAATGGTACTTTGGTAATTGGGGAGGTGGTAAATGTCGAACCCCATCTATGTTTATCCGCCAGTGCCGTATCGTAGAATAAAAATAACACCAATAATTTGAAATTGTTACCGATGGAATCGAGCAATGGCGTATGAATTTATAGGCTAGAAACAATTATTTAAACAATTATTATAATATCCCAAATTATTATTCTAAAATTTTATAATTATTCACAATTTATTAAATTATTTACATAAATAGGCGAAATTGTTATTAACTTCTACAGTAGCGTAACCAGAATTTATTTTTTGGGGGACACAACGACAGTTACTTCCATAAATCTAATATTTGTATAAGAGGTTATAAAACACCTTTCAGGTTTTGCAAATTTTAAAAATTTATTTAGAAAAATTGTGGTGTACAAGAAACAACCAAACAAAATACAACAAAATATTTATTCTTAAATAAAAACTACGAAACAAAATATTAGAAACAAAAATAATATTTCACTGTTTTGACTAAATCACCTTCAAATAATGAATTTTTTTTCTGCTATATAATACTTGAAGCCCAGATATAAACATTAGGATAAAAGTTTTTATTGCATACAGAAAGAGATTTTAAAGCGGTGTTATATTTTGTACTAATTGCAATGCCATTGTTCCACTTGTTCTTCTACCTTTGTATGTCTGTTTTAAGAAGTTCAAGAGACGCGCCAGCAGTTTCATTTATTTTAGATACGACTTCATTTAATGTCAAATCTAATGTTTATTTCCATAAGAAGATGGATTAAAAATAGTAAGAGAATTGTTCTTAGATAATGTTCTAGTGTTAATTCAATATTTTCTTTGTTTAGAAAAGTTTCTTGTACTGTAAATATTTTTTTAAATTCGCTTGATGCTATATTTTCATTATTTTTATTATTTTTGTCTTTTATGGCAAATAAATTAAATATTTACTAACAAATAACTTCGATGTTATAAGAGAGGCGGGGAGACGTGGCCCCGTTGCCTCTTCCTTAGTTACACCACTGAGAATCTATAAAATAAATTATCTACAATGTTTATTAGTTTTGATGTCTGTTTAATTATTGTTTTTAGTAGTGATTGGATAATTTCGAATAAGAAAAAAACGACGCTCTTAATCTGAACAAGGGATTAATGTTTAGCTCACATCTGCTGAGGTACTGAATGGATACTTTTCAAATTTTGATTTGGATTGGTGGTACATACGTATTACCAAAAATATTTCATCAAAATGTTCCAAACACAAAAGAAAAAGAAATACCAATACTTCCATAATTAGTTTTTAGTATAATTGTGTTTTGTTTACATATTAACATCTACCTATCTATTTATTAACTAGCCCAATATTTTTGTAACAATTTTCAAAGCGGATCAAAATGATTTATCTACATTTTTTTATCTAAAATATCTAGACAAAAAATTATATTCGCCAGATTTCCTCTAGAGTTCACAGACCATTAATATTATGTTCTTTCTTGTCGACTAAAAGTTAAAAAGTTTTTCTCATCATATTTCCCAATCCTTCGGGAAAGTCATAAATATGTAGGTATCAAAGGAGCGAGTTCTGTCCACTCAACTACAAACTTCCAGTTTTCCCGATTTTCTCGTTCCGTTTTTGTGACACTCGACATGATTTCAGAAGAAAAACGTGGGATTATAAGTGGATTTGAAGTTTGAATGGAATTAAATCAATAAAATACTCCGATTTAATGTTTAATATTTTGTATTATTCGGCATAATGGATGAAAAATTATTTCACCTTATGCAGACTATGATAAAACATTATAATAATGACTGACAAAGATAGAGGTGCAAATCATGTCCGTGATAACAGACAGATTTGACCATGGAATTTTAGGAAAACATCTTTCTTTTGATTTCAAATCATATTTTTCTAAACCCACATGGATATTAGCTATTCTACGCACAGACTACAAAACGAAAAAGTATGCCATTGCGTTCGACTGAACGAATATATTTCATATCCATTCTATTTCGTCTATATTTATAAATCATAAATTTTAATAAAACTATATGAAATTAATTTAATTAAAAGTATTAAAATTAAAATATTAGGAGTAGTGCTAGCGAATATATTTTAAAGATAGATTTTGTGATTAATACTACAAGATGGTTTTCATGAATCTCATTTTAGAGATAATTTTGTAAATTATACTACCACATGTTGTTGGCCAATCTGTTTATTTCTTATTTGCATCTACATTTATAATATCACAAATACAATAACAATTAATACCTATTATTTAAATGTACATTAGAAAAATTTTATTATTCGAATTTCGATCCCATTTCAATGTTTTGAAATTATTTAGACCTGGAAAAACGATTCGTTCTCACGAAAATGAAGATCTCTGCTCATAAAATATTCAAAGAAAACTCACCCAACACCATCAGCGCTTGACAGAAGTTCAAATTCTAACTAAATTAGGAATTCTTGTTTGTATGTTTGTCTGCTGGTTTTTATGATTATTCAACAAGATATACTGTTTTGATTAGTGGGTTTTTTGGTTTTCTAGTTCCTTTTATTATTGAGCTTCTAGAATTAAATTAATAAAATAAAAATAAATTCATCCGTAGTGTATCTGATTTGAAAAATATAATTTACAAGAAATAAGAAACCAAGTGAAAGAAAATCTTAACAAATACAACTCTTGTAAAGGATAATTATCTAAAATTTCTTCTTTTTCTCAAAAAACGATATTTTTCGTTTCCCAAAATCGGTGTAAATTATATTTAGGAAATTCTACTCATGTAAAAAAATCATTTGGTAACAAAGATATCGTAAACTTATAAACACGAATATTTCCAAAGAAATTAAATTAAAACGGGGTTTTTATTTATTTATGTGTCTAACATACACTTGTACCATCAAAGTTTAAAAGTTTTATAAGAAAATAACACTTCAAAAACATAAATGTCAACCTAAAATTAAAATGTTTTATTATTACGTCAATAAGTATAAATGATCTTAAATAATGTACCTTTGTAATGTTTCTAGAAAATTATTTTAGTAATAATTATAATGAAATATTTTTTCATGAAAATTTTATTGATAAACGTTTTTTTTTAATTCTTAATTAATTAATACATCAATGATTGTGATTTTACATATCACTAAATATTGCTTTAATGAATAATAAAAAGTTTTGTGTAAATATAGTGTGAGGAAACATGATTTTTCCCTCATCCCATCTATTAGATTGTGACTTATTGTTAGAGCAGGCAATTATGTAAAATATTATATCTGTCTTAATTCTATATCTACGTATTAAAATTTATGGAAATTATCTTCTATATAAACTCTATAGAAGATAATTTAAATAACACTCTACAATTAGAAAATTGAAAATGTAATATTTCAACTTTGCCGACTACGAAACTAAACTACCTTAATCGTAGACGATAACAAATTTCGAAGTTCTAAAGTCAAAAACAAAAGTCTCAAAAAAACTTAAGAGTTGCAGGAAAAACTGCAAACAAGCGCATGAAATGTAATGCAAAAGCGGCTGCCGAACTAGAACCGAACTTTTCCATTGCCATCGCAACTTTTCCGACATAGAATCAAATTGAATTTTATTTCACGACTTCAATAAAAGTTTTCACGTCTAGGGGTGTATCCCTGTCTTAATTTATGTTGGCGTATACGTGAAAAAATAAATTGAAAGGATGTTTTGTCCGTTTGCAGGTTTAAACGATCTCCACACTCTGCTGTTGGCTTGTTTCGCCACGCTGGTTTTTCTGGCTGTGACTGTGTCGACGGTTTTCGGCATTAGGTAAGTGAAATTTATTTCTGTTTTGTAAAACTATATATTGTAATAGTTTCTCCCTGGTCAAAGTAGTATTCCAATATCCTACGAACAATAAGAGTTGTGGTTCCAATGTTCTATAAAAATTGAAAACTAAATTTGAATTAAAAAAAAAAATGCTTTGCTTCTTTATTTTGGAAGTTCTCTCTACTGCTACAACTCCTGCTTGTTTTTGTCTCCTGTTTTCTCCTCTTACTCTTATTGGTCTTAGGGTTCATTTATACTCGTTTTAGTAATAGTAATATTAATAGTATTAAGCCGAAGTTAAACATGCATAATATAATATTTTAATTTTATTTTAAACATTGTTATATTGAACTCTTTTATTCAAAATCTGTAGTGTGTATTCTAATTCAAATTAACCCATTTTTTTTTCTACAAAATACCAGACTATTTTCATAAGAGAAAGATACAGTATATTCTTATTTCTTTTACAATTAATACCTGGATAAAATAAATTACAGACAAGTTATTCGGAGAACTGCTTTGAGAAATTCAGATCTCTAATGAGATCATTCAGTTCTTGAACATCCTAAAAACTAGAACTGTTATGAAAAAATGGTATTTTTGGAATCAGCACATCAAAAATATTCTAAATCAGTTTTTACTCTTTCGCCACCATAGAAATTATGTCATTTTATAGTATATTTTTTAAAATTTTTGTAATTTAAAGGAAATTGGGGTCACTATTATATTTGTGAGGTATGATCCTCCTTGTCCCACAAATATTTTCTTACAAAGTAGATTATGTAGATTAATATTTATTTTCATAACCTCTCTATCCATCCAAATGAAAATCTATGGTTATAACATATATCAACTAACAATTCTATTTTAATTAATTATTTATATTATAACTTTTATTTGAAACATGTACAGAGATTAATATTTATTTTGACAACCTGTCTATCCATCCAAATTATCTAAATTTATTGTTACAACACACAACAACTGACAACTGTTAGTATGTTACTTGCTATAAGTGGTAACAGTTACTCTCATTTTGATACATGTCCATCTCTACTTTTCATAATTTTTTTCTGTATTTATCTATGTAGGTTGATGTGGAAAAAGTACAGAAGGAGCAAGGAAAATTCCCAGTACGACGGGATATTGCACAGGGAAGGAACTTCCGAATCAATATCGAGGCCATTACATTCTCATCTTCTGGAAGATAAACTGGTGAGATGATGCATTTTCAATTTTTCAATTTTCCAATTTTAGACTCTATTCCACAAGGATAATTTTTCCTATATATTCCATTATTGTAAGGATAGAAATAATAAATGTGATCGTATATATCTAGTTCGCGAGTTATGTCTATACTGTATTTTTTATTAATGATTTAATGTTTCTTGGAAACCGAAAAAAAAAATTGTTTTCAAAACTTTTAAGATAAAAAAAAAGTTTTTTTTTGTAACAATGCAAACGTAAAGTAAAATCACTTGGTAGTGGCTTCTAGCACGCAGAGCCTACGGGGGAAACAACATAATTTGTTTGAAATTTAAATTTTAAAACATTTACGAACGGTAAAATAAATCATATAATTCCTAAAACTAAAATTCGTCATTTTAATATCTTTCTAAATCCCAAATATTATAACGTGTGGTCAAAAAAATAAGAGGTAGGTCCATAATAACTGGAAAATGCTTTTGCATGAATTATAAACTGTCAGTTAAAGAAGAAGAATTGTGTGCTCTGAAATCAGTGATTTTTCCGTCGCCTACTATTGTTCTCTTTAAAATGGTTTGAGGTCTATTATTAATTACCACTCGATAAAAACTAGATAAAATTTTATTAATAACAGCAAATAAGGTCTACCAACTTTTTGGCTCGCCTTGTATAAAATGTAAGAGGTAAAATACGAAAAATTCAGGAAATTTTACCGAAGCCCACTTCTCCATAATCCGGCTGCCAGCGTATTCTAACTCAGTTGAATAAAGTTTTTGAATATATTATCATATTTTCTTAAAATGTGACTTAGGTCCATTATTACCAGATATTTAAAATATTTCAGTAAAAAACCATAGTCATAATATAAACATTTTTTAGATTTAGTTTACTAGAAAGTAGTGGTTCTATTCTAAATTTGAATATGACTGTAACTATACATTTTAAAATTTAACATTATTTATAAAAGTATAATTATTAAAATTACTCCTCTATCAGTAATTTTAAATACTATTTGAAAAACTAACATTTGCTTTACAGATTATCAACTTTGAAACCTTAATAAATATGAAGATAAACACACTTAATAAAAAAGAGAAAAATTGAGAGACTTACATAAAAAGAATTTTGAAAATCATTCAAAATTATAAAATGTTTACATGCTAAAAAGAGCAGTTATATCTAGGCACTAACCAATCAGCTTTCATAATTATTTTTACACCTGTAATAAAGTTAATACTTATACGATATTTTGGTATGCCCCTTGTAAACAACGAAACCAGTTCCTCCGCCATTTCATACAATATGTAATACTGGTTGCCTACAGTACAACAGCAATTTTCGATTTATACACTTTCGTGCAGCAAAGAACAGACTTCAGTAAATTTAATTTTATAAAATGGGAAAGAATTCCCTCAACATCTTTATGCATTAAATTACTTAAATTACAATAAAGTTGTAACCTTTTAAGTCTAGTTTGGAATAAAAAACAAAAAAGTACATGTTTTTGTAGATTTATTCTGCTTTCGATGGATTTTTAACACTCTAGAGCCAAAATATACCTACTACACCTACTAATTCCAGGTTATTAGGATAGCAAATCATTATTGATAGTTTCCTATCCTATGTTTTGAGAAATAATTTTTATTTTTATTAGTTTTAAATATATTTTTTTTCGGTTTTTATTAAAGTTTTTTTTTTTAATTATTTATTTATTTTTCATCGGGATTTTGTTGTCTAGTTACCTTTGGTACAATCGATACCAATGTGTTGTCACTTGTAACATGGGTTCCTTTGATACATATAACAGCTGACTATAACTAATAATGTTTATAAATGGTTTTTAACGTATTAAAAACAAAACAAATAATACAATAACTAAAATATTTTTTAATAGTTGTAGTGCTTGCAAATAGTATGATAATAATAATAATAACAACTACACTTAATATAAACCCAAATTAAAAGAAACAGCTATATTAACGTTTGTACAAAGTTTTAAACCGAACTGACAAACGATAAAATTATTGGAAAAAGTGAACACTCTTTATAAATTACAAGAAGCCGCCACTGTGTTCAACATTTAACATGTATTCTACATTAAAGAAATGTATAAAAAAATTATACACGCAAAATTTGATATTAAACAGAAAACTTAGAATGACAAAATAGACAAACATTTTTGAAAATAAATGTATGTAATGGAATGAAGAAATAGAACATTTGTTTTTATCAAATATCTCGGAAACCGGCTCTGATATTTTGGTTTTAAAAACGTCCTCAGATTAGGCTTTGAAATATACAACTTTTTTCCCATTTAACCAGCTTTGTGTCAAAAGTTTTTAAGCTCACACTACATCGATTTCTTGAACTGTACCTTTTTTTTGGCGGTTCATTAGTTTTTGAAATAAATTGAATTATGAATTGTTCGCTTTCTTACTCAATTAATGCTTCAAAAATTAGTTACTTGTTTATCTGACTATAAAAAGAATCGAACGTTTTAATTGGAATCATTTCGTATCATTCGAAACGAAGCAAAATAGATGGTATATCAAAGAGAGAAATAATACAGCCAATGTGCGTTTTCTCTCTGAAAAACCGTCTCTTTGTTCGTAATTATTCTGAACAATGAATGCCCTGACCAACGAAGTGTATTGAAAAGAAATTCTTTGGCGTGGAAAGTTCTAGGTGAAAAAAAAGGGCTACGACCAGATTCGTGCATTTGGACTCCACTCCCAGAATTGCATTCGTTATAGCCGAAACGTATGTATTCGACCGTAAAAACCATAGGCGTGCCGGAAAATTTTTTTCTTAGAAAAATGGTCAACAAGTTAAACTTTTATTCGAAATAGTACAAGAAAAAAAGGGGCGTTTTTAAAAAAATCTTTTCATGAATTATTAGTTGATTATAAATAATTATATAATATACATGGTTCAACATTAAAATTTGATTTTTCTCGAAAACGGTCGACTTTAGAGCGTATGACCAAGAGTACCTTTTTTGTGTGGAAAACATTGGCGGTTCAAATGGGCGTCTCAAAACCGTACTTTTTCCAGTGGCGTAGAATTTTTTTTTTTCAATTTCAACACCCTGTATCTCGAAAATGGTGCATTTTAGAGGGTATATTTATACATTCGGGCCATTCAAGAAAATATGTTTTTCGACGGGCCCATCTCGATTTTTCCCTAAAAGATTAAAGCCTTTGGTTTTCCAAAGCCTAAATTAATTAATTAATCATATAGTGAAATCGGCTTGCGTGGAAATATGGGCAACAAGTAACCTTTCATTTGTGTTAGGAAAAATCGAATTTTTCATGTGTTTTCCCCAGGAGCCACTTGTAAATTTCCTTTCATTCTACTTAAAATCGATGTACTTTTCAACCCTATTATTAGAGGCTTGTATGCGAAAATGGGGCACTTAAACCTGTCACTATCTGACGGACTAATATAGATTCCATTTTAATTTTCTTAATGTCTCGTTAGATTTAGATATATCCTCGATATCCATCACAGGTATCCTTAATAAAAAAAGGATTGGAACTAGCCGGAAACAAGTGCAAAAAATTGCAACGTGTGCGTATCAACGTACCAACATCAACCAGAACCGTCTACTCGAGTATGGAAAGAGAGGACCGCGTTTTGTAATTGCAATCGCGGTTGGTCGTCTTTCTTGTTTGATTGATGACCGATGGTTTGGGCTCTCAAAGAACAAGAAGTCATCTTTATTTAATTTACCGATGGCCTAAGGGTCACCCGGTGCGGATGCGGAGGCTCGAAAATAATTGGTGTTGCGCTCACGGCCGAAACTGTTTCGGTTTTCGGGGTTGCGTGTCGCACTTCCTTGGTTAGATTGTTTATTTTAGACGCGTTTCCTTGTAATCAGAACGAAAACAAGATTGTTTTCAAGTATAACAATGGTCTACGAGGGACGATCGACAAATCACTGAATTAACGAAAATGATAAATACATTCAAAGAATAAAAAATAACAGATACCTAATACAGTTTTTACTGGGCATATTCACAAATTGTCTTATATTAGATACGTATGGCGTGCCGTTTTGGTATTTAATAACATCGCTTAAAAAACAAAAACAAAAATATTCTTTCCTTCAAAAATTTTAATTCCGTAATTATTCTGTTAAAGAATTAAAATTATGTATTTCATAATTTTAATACACGTATTTCCATTATGAAAAATATAATTGAAATTGCCGATTTAAAATTATGAAATACATAATGAAAATTCAATAATTAAAATTATGAAATTCCAGACTTATTTAGAGATAAATACAACAGTATATGTATGTGCTTTATTTAGTTTCATTATTTTGACAAAATTATGTAAAATTCCCATAAGACGACATGTATTTTGAACAGCGGTACTAGCACCAGCGCCCTTGCGGTGAATTAAAAAAGCTCAATTAGCGTTCATTTTTTGAAACCGTATTTAGATAATGTCGATTCGCCTCCTTATCTCTAGTCTTCATATGTGGAAGTAGAGGAAGTCTATGATGCTCTAATTGTCAGCAGTAAAATTGGCGGGTTGAGAAAGAGGCACTTGCATTGACACGTCTTGCCCAATCATTTTTAAAGTAAGTATTCACATGACTTGCGACGTATGCTGTGACGCGGATTGCGTAATGGCCTCGAGAAAATCTAAGCTTACAGAGTTCGACTTGAAATTATATGTTGAATGTTTCAACTTATTAAGTTATTGGAATATACAGGGTGTCCCGAAATTAGACGGTCATATTTTAACAGCATAATCTACATCCTAAAATAGGAATAAAAGTTCATATAAATATAGGTCCGAATACGTTTCGTTTTCGAGATACAGGGTGTTACAAGTGAAGTCCTGATGGCACATTTTTGTAAATATTTTCTAAAATTTCTTTAGTCACCGGTTTTCCAAAGTAAAAAAAAAATAAATTTCTGATTTCACAGGCCTACTAATTATTGTTTACACTTTCGAATAACTTATCATGAAATTTTCAAATTCTTTTTTCTTGA